CCTTCATCAAAGTATGCAGAAAAATTTGTAGTATCTAGAATGTAAGCCTAGGTTGTCTCCGATGACTTTGGTTTGTAACATACATTGAACATGTTATAAACATTTACTATAAAAGCAATTAAAACAAGGGGATTTATGTGATTTCAATTTTAATGTAAAGGCAAGTGATGAAATTAATGAGTCCAATCAATGAAATGTGCAATTCTTAGTTTGTTTATGTAATTCTATCCCTATCCCTCTCAAGATTCAATACTTTTCCTCTTCCTCTGAATTAGGGTAACTCAAAAAGTAAGAATTAACCTTAAAGTCTCATGAATTAAACAATTTACATGGGCTCCAACCCTTTTCCCTAAAATTACGCAACCTTAGAAACTAACTTAGGATTAAGCAAACTAAGTTAAGAATTTCATTAAAACGAATTAGGGTTAATTAAGCAATGTCCCCCTCGTTCAAACATTAATTCAATTCAAAGAGTTGGAAAATATAAATTCATAAAAGAAAGGAAATTATATTGACATTCATACCCAAGAATTCAAGAATCCATGAACTCACTAAGGATTACAAGAAAGTTTAGCCCTCCATGAGAATGGGTCTTACAAATTTAAGATGAAAGCAAAAGGAATTTAATAACATCAATGCAAGAATTAAAGAAAAGTGAAGAGAAACTGTAAATCAAACCCTAGATTGACATTGGCTATCACCCAAGGATCCTAAGCTATGCAAAAATGCTCCCAAGGTGGCAAAAGAATCTAAAATTATGAAAAGATTCGTACCCTAATTTCTAAAAATCTATATATACTAAGTCTGACATAGCCTCATAGTGATCACTCTATAAACAAGAGTGATTATGCGCAGCAACTTCAGATTTTTCGCTTTCTGGAGTGATTACTCTCACTTCTAAGAGTGATTACGCTCAAGGCTCTTCATCCTGAAGCTCTCTGGAGTGATCACTCTCACTTCTGAGAGTGTTTACGCGCAAGCCTGTGATTCTGGAGCTCTCTAGAGTGATCACTATCACTTCTGAGAGTGATTACTCGCAGGCCTGGTGGTTCTCTTTAACTTTAGAGTGATCACTGCTGCTTCTGAAAGTGGTTACTCTGGCCTACCCCTTGGAATCAGCTCCCTGGAGTGATCACTATGGTACCTGAGAGTGATTACTCTCAGTTCATATTTTTTCCAGACCCAAAAATTCATGAAATTTGTCTAGAATTTCCTGCACAATTATTCAAATAATCAAAATTACAAAATATATTCAGAAAAATTAGTGAAAATAAGACAAAAATTAAGAAAGTTATAATATTTTACCTAAATGAGGTTTTTATGTTATTTACAATCTCTAAGTCTATTTTTCATATTAAAATTCTATAAAAAGCTAGACAAAATATCTATAAATTGTGGATTCATCATGGCCTGCCACTAGAAACGCGCTCAAAAGTCTATTGAGACAATCTTCAGAGAAGATCGTGATCATGGTAGGTGAATAGGTATGTCACAATTGTTGGGGTTCTAACTGTGCCATTATAGAGGTACATACACAGGGTATGGTAGATTCTATTGTTTACAGTAAAATCAAACGGTAAACTATAGAATAGTTCCATTTCTAGCATCATAATGTTACGAGGTACATTATCAGCATGTAAGGCCAACTTAAAATAACAAAATTTATGATACTCATTAAATACATAATTTAACTTATATTGTACAAAACTATCTATACACCTAATGCCCTCTCTGGATGCTATCATCCTAGTCCCCTAAAATATTTATGTAAGAATGAATCTCTAATCCCATTACCAAGCACACTTTCACAATTAGTCACACGACACAACAACGGTACTACAACAATCAATCATATGACAAATTCGTACTCATATACATGCAACAATCTTTAAATATTCAGCTTATTACTCTTCATCTCTCTTTTAATAGTCAGAGTCCTCATTATGTATTTTCACTGCCCCTGGAATCCCTCGAGGTCTTCCTTAGCATAGACAGTCTATGGATAGTCATAGCTACACGAATACAATGTGTGTCGACTTGACCCTTTTTAGCAAAAGTATGGTCAGAAGTGTTAATTAGGAAATGAGTGTGAGGCCTGTGGTGCTTTTACTCTCACTTGTCCACCACCCTCATTTTCCCAAGATTTCACAATCGTCTCCATCTTCCACACTCCTAGTGTACCTCTGAACTATCCATACTTGTTCTTATCGATTTCTTTCTCATTTCATGTCTCTTTCCATATTTTCTATCTCATCTCTATATTTTTCATTATATGTTTACTAACATATTATTCACGCTTTTATCTCTCTATTTTACTTTAGTTCATTATTATATCATCCATCATATACATGCATATACACTCAAATCAAGGATCATACACTTCATCAAACACCACAAAACATGCTTCAAACATAACAAAAACATATTCTCATCCAACATATACTCAAAATCATGCATTTCATCACAACATTTTCATGAATACAAACATACCACTTTCTTAGTAATAAAATAGAGCTCTCCTTATCTTGAAATGGAAGTTTAGTAAAAGGTTTTCGAAGGATTTTTCCTAGAATGTCGGATTCTTCCAAGGAATAAGGAAAGTGAACTTCCAAGCTTTGATCAGAGAAAGGTTGAGATTTTTCAAAGATTTGCTGAGAAAATAAGAAGAGAAGTTAGAGAAAACGTAGAAGGTCGTAACTTGGATTATAATCCTAGTTTCTCAACTTGGAAATCCTTAATTACCTCTCAACTCACGACATTCTCACTAAAACAAGTGATTCTCGCTACAACAAAAAAATCAAACAAAATTACACTTTACTGTCTGTCATTCTAGCTACAGAGAGAGCTCATCGTTACAGCGAAAAGATCCTTATTACAACGAAACACATCTTGCTACAGCGAAAAATCCTGCAACTCACACATCTAAAACTTTCCTAATTTTAAGCAACATGTATTAACAACTCTCACAAAATACAAAATTAATAAATAATAAAAATAGGGTGTTACACAAATAGTTGAAGTTGCTAATTCCAGAATCTCTACTCAGAAATATAAAATTCAAATACAAAATTTTAAAATTTAAAATTAACTAGTGTAGAAATCACTTGTTACATTGGTTAAAAATGACAATTTATATTGTTTATAAATTGATCTAGATATAACCAATATAGTAGTATATACATTTTTTAAATCATTATTACAACGAAGGTAAAAATGGTGTTTGAGATCAATTAAGGATAACCGGTCTACAAAATGTGTAGATTTTGTACGTTCTGGAATTGGAATGAGATTAATGTTTTTCGTATCTAAAATGACGAACAGAAGATAGATATCTTGAAAAGAGATTTGCACTTTTTGTTGATTCTGTAAATGAAGAACACAAAATGCTCATCAATGTCATACAAAAGTAAATGGGTTGATAAAGATGAAAACACAGAATAAAACTCAAGATGTTTGTCATTCATGTACCTTAACTAAAATGAATTAGTGTTTGTCAATGACGTGCCCAAGAACACAAAATATTGACTTGCTCATTCTCATGATAGTAATAGCGAACATAATGGTTAACCAAGTCCTTATTGGTAATGTATTTCAATGATAAACTATAATAATGTCTAGCAAAACTTTTAAATGGAGGTTGTCCATCTAAAGTAGCCACTATTTGTTATTTCATTGTATTTCCAATATAAAAATCACCCTTCATTTGCTGCAAAACCACAGTAGGTGTTGTCAACATAATAGTATGCAAGTCACTTCTCCTGTGCTTTGAATGAAAAATAGGCTGGTGGAAAATGAAGAGGAGGAAATGCTAATGTACTTGGCCTCGATATGAAATACATTATCATGTTCTACCTTCATATTCACTCGGACCAATCACATCTTCCCATAGTTCATGCAGAAACACACCATGTGGATAAGGAGAAATTCAGTACTTCAAAACTAATTGTTTGAAGAAACAAGTTGAAGACCTGTGGTTCTGCTTCTACACTTCCACGTTAAGCAACAAAGGTGGAACATATTGTTACATGGTCTACGTACATAAAAAAATCAGGTATATGTATTTCAAATTTGAAGGTCTAAGCAGATTTGGAGAATGCAAGATTTTATCATAAACCTATCATAGCGCTTGCCTACTTCGTACATGTTGAAGTCTCACGTCAAAAACAAGTATGGCTAAAGTAAAATTTATAAAGAGTAAAGCAATCCTCATCTTATAAGAAAACTTTTGGAGTTGAGTTAGTTCAAAGTCCAAATTTAAGAGTATAGGACTAAAACCTTTTTACTTTTCATGTTAAAGGCAAAAACAAGAAAAAATATAAATGTGATGATGAAAAATTCCTGCCTTCGTTATTGAACCGTAGTGAAAGACTAGTAGTCTTACATGCCATGAATACTATTATAGTGGTGTTATATATCATGAAGCAAAAGTCTTTTTGTTATTGAACTACTTGTTTGCTAAAAATTAATTTTGAACTAGTGAATGCTTAATTAAAATGTATGCCTAAAATAACCACAAATTTTCTATTAGCATGAGTAGTTGATTTTTTTTTATTATTATTATGACACGATTTAAGTGTAGTACCATAGATATTTGTATGTTGTTCTCCAAATAAAATTGAAATTTTACTTTGATAGTCTATAATAACATTTAATGCAATTTTTTTATTAAAATAAACCTCTAACTTTAATTGGTAACAACTCCTAAAGAACAACGTATAAGTTTTCTTCCTTTATTCTTAATGTAAAACAAAAAAGCCATAAGTAGTTTATTACGTGCAAATGTAGTATAATTAATTAGTTAGATTGATATTGACTCTTGGTTACTTTATCCTGAATATACATACCCAGTGAAATATCCCTAGTGATAGTTATTATAAAAATCCCCTTACTTTGCGTTTTGGATACTACACTCAGTTCTTTCTTCTTCTTCTTCTTTTGTCAATTTTACCTCGAGTTCTCAAACGCAAGTACAATTTTCTATTGCAAATCCAAACTGATGAAGGGGATGAAAACCACACCCAGAAAAGAGTCGCCTCTCATACTCATACAAGCCCAAATACATAGAGCATTGTTATTAATAAGCCCACAAAAATAATTGGTAATTGACTAGACCTCCTTCTGATGTTCAACTTTTGTTGACAAAAACAAAATGATGTTCAACTTTTAAGCCAAAAGAAAAAGTTAAGTCTGCTATATTTACATGAAACTCACCTATTGTCTTACTTCCGAAGTATTGCATTTTATTTGCAAATATGAAATACTATATGATATGATACCGCTTGTTTAAATAAACAATTAATAATTTGATATTTATTTACAAATTGGTGTAAGACATGTAAGGTGACAAATATGTAACAAATGGATAGGGACCTGCAGTGTGATAACTTTGGTAGCTGCCATGTCAATACTAGGCAAGATGAAATGCTTGAGAACGATAGATTTCATCAGCATATGCTGAGGGAACATAGATTGCATGCAACAGTGAGCTGTGTGTCCGGCCATAGAACAAGTATACAAGCACCCCTATCAACAACCACACCGAAACTCGTAGCCATGTAGCAAATCTGAAATACAAACACAAGAATGATTAGATGTTGATATCATGTATGTTATGCATGATGCATGCATGCCCCCAAGCATGGTTGTCAAGAGATTTCTCACCCAAGATCAATTAGTAAGTAGGTGTTTATAAGAATGCATGCAGCAGGTAAGAACGGAACCAATGGGCAAACAAAACCTGAAATACAAGGTAGCAAAATCATTGTGTAAGATTTAAAAAAATCTTGTTATGCGGAAATAAGAGAAGAAACACAGTCAACTATTTAATAAGATAATTTAATCATTCATTTGTTGATCCTTGCAGCTTTGCTAATTATAATTTGTGATTCTTTAACCAATCCATCAAATTCTGTCAGGTTTAGCTATTTTAGGCTTGTCCCCTGCACATACATACCTCCCGAGTGTCCAAAGCTGTGCCTCGTTTCATCTTGCTTTATGCAGGCCAACACAATTACACTGCATATAAGAAGAATTCCACCCACTCCGCATAATGTAAAACGCAAAGTCCTGCATTTGAACAATCACCAAAAGGGAACAGAAGTAAGGATAAAGCACAAATGATAATTTTGAAGATATAATCAAATTGCTAACTTGAATGAACCACTATTCTTTTTCCATATTGTATTCGGAGAGACTATTTCGGAGAAAATCATTCCGCAAAAGAATACCGGGATAATATCCACATTATAAATTCAAAACTACGGAGGATTGAAAGAGTTCAGACCTTGGACACCACTCGGCTGAAGCCGCACTGGTAACTATGAGAATCCCCATACAAAGAAGAGCAATGGTCCGTGTAGCAAGTTTCCGCCTATCTCTCTCATTCTGTTCATCTGTACAAACAACTCGAAACCCAAGTTTTTGTTAACTAGCACATCATAGAAAACCGAGGTAGTGGTTGATACAAAGAATACCCAAGATACACCAAAACCTTTTCACAGAATATTTATAACCAAGATTGACACTAGGCATGTGTGTGTGAAATACAGTTAGAAAATTTCAAAATTATAAGAGTTCAAAAAATAAAGTGAAGATGCCTCAAAGAAATTTCCTCAGCAAAATGTGAGCATTATGCTGTTCTATATTGACTCTTCAAGAGTCTATTGAGTCTATCCCCAAAGGGACTACCCCATCAAGTTGGGCAGTCGACAATTGCAGACCATCACAGTATCACATGATATAGAAGCACTGGTAGACTACTTCTATTAATGTTCTAGTCAACCTGACTAATTTACATAGCCAATCTCATCATAAAGAAATCATCAACCAATAAATGGGGGGTCTTCTATCTACATGTAGAATTGCCGATACTGTAGATACATTTACAGTCTAAATATTCTCCAAAATTCATGGAAAGGTAATAAGATTCAAAAAATAATTACCTTTGGTCACTTCTTTTATGATTAAAGGATGTCCAAGCAGAGCCTCGTGTAGGTGATTATTTTCACAATAACTAGCTGGATTTACAGGACTTATGGCCCTATCTTCCCCAATATCACCACCAGAATGCCTCAATAATGGATCAACAGATGTTAGAAGTGAACATGGAATGGGTACCTCATCAGGTGGAACATATCTGATTATCAAAACTGAAACTGCAACAGCAGTAAATGCAAGCAACGTTCCCACGCTAACCTGTGTTCCCAAAGCAACAAATATAACAACTGATCTATGTTTATAATATTCTAAAAAGATGCATCTCCCTAGTTCTTGTCACAAGTTATTTTACAACATAACTCACCATCCCTGCTAACTGGGAAACATCCAAAAAGAATGCAAGTGTAGCTGCAAAGACACCGGTGACAATAGTGCTTTTCAAAGGAATCTGTGTGCGTTTATGGATGTTTGAGAAGAAAGGAGGCAATAAACCATCTCGAGCCATTGCCATAAAGACCCGTGGCTGCAAAACATATGTGCCAGTGGAAGGATATATTTATCATTTGCAAGAAACATAATTTACAATAACAGCATCAAATATCTAGCAAATATATGCATAGACACGTGTATATAGAGATGTATACATGATATTCAAGAGTCAAATAAAAGATACCGGTACATAGGATTCTAAACTTCGACCATATTCTAGTAAAAGAAGAAAAAACTTAATAATAAAGATAAAGAAATGGTAACTTCAAGAACTTCAAAATATATTGATGCTATGTCATTCTTTATCTTTTGGAGACTACCACCATGATAGAAGAAATGCATTTGGATTAAATCATGTTTGCAAGTCAGAACATGACCTTATACCAATCCCTGAACATAAATTTGTGCCAGAAAAAGTTATTTTGTTAGAATTTATTTAACCAAAATGAAAAAGACAATATGCTATGAAGCACAAAGTCACAAATCACTTCCTTGAAATATGTTAATGCCCCTCAAAATTCGATCATATTCATCTTTTCTAGCCCTTTTAAATAAAAATCCTTGTGAGATCATTGTCGTATATTTTTTGTAATAATTTGAATTATTCAATTCAGAAAAATACTTATATATTTCTTTTCATATAGCAACTTGATGATTTCAAAAGTTACTTCCAATATTTTTAACATATGAATATCTAAACAGAGGATAAAATAGTTCTATAAGGATTAAAAGTGGCATATGGAAGATTAGAATTATTGCAAGTATGAAATTTGAAATGTACTAATAATCTATGCTCCTAATCTCATGTTACAGCATTTGATCTCATACTAGACCAGAACATGAAGTATCATAATTCATAATAACAAAAATAATCTAGCAACAAGTCAGGGCATAAAGGAAGAGGAAAAGTACAATTTGAGGTCATGAATAGTCAAAACCAAAATCTAACAAACATAACTAAGTGAGATTGACAGAGAAATAAGTAAACTAAATCTTAAGAACTTGTTTATGTACCTGAGGAAGAACTGATCCCAACAAACTGGCAAACAGAGCAGTAACAGCTCCAGTTGTTATAATATACCTATTGTGGAAAGAATAGAGCTTGAATCATAATATTCAAGATTTGGAGCAAGTCTAAACAATGAAATACTGTGCCACAGCAAACCTTACACTGCCCATTCCATCCCATAGCTAGAGAATGCTGAGGAGATTGGGGTATCGGGGTCCAACTTATAATATGGTACTAAGCCAACAATAACTGCTGCTACAAGCATATACAACATGCAACATATCGACAATGCAGTTGATATACCAATAGGCAAGTCTCGCTGAGGGTTTTTTACCTGCATGACAACAAAATAAAAACCTTTAATAAAAGAATCTTTAACAGAATATTGTTTCACAGTGCTAGCATCCCAAACTACCAGAAGAGAAATATTGATAGAGCAGTAATCCACGAAAAGAACTAACTATAGATCTGCAAATAATTTTATTCTCATTTTGTTTGTTTTCCTTGGAAAGATCAAAAGCACCCATTCACAAGCTTATATATAAACTTTTAGAAGAAAAAAGTGAAAAAAAAAAGGGGAAAGCAATTGCAGTTATCGATGTATTAGAATGTGACAGCTACAAAGGAATTTCAGCCAAAAACTGATACTAGAGCAATGAAAAGGTTTCACAGTAAGACTAGAGTTAGGTTTTAACTCAAAATATTAAATGCATTCCTCAACAATTCATGTGTTTAAGATTGATGAGCTTTTCATTAAGCTTCTGCTATTACAAATAAAACATGACAAGAAATTTCAGTTCCCCCAATGAATATTTACCTCCTCAGCTGTGCTGGTCACTGAATCAAAACCAATGTATGAAAAGAAAACTATTGCAGACCCAGCAAATATCCCATTCACTCCATAAGGAAAATACCTGAGATAAAAGAGAAATGTCAGCTATATCAATAAGAGGTATGCTACAGATGATGAGCTAAACAACACATACACAAAGACACCCATTACCCGCTTGGCAGCTCATATCCAACCCATCCAGACTTAAAACCTAGATATCCACCAACAAATATGATGAAAAGCATGACACCAACATTTACTGTTGTCACAATGGATTGTGCAGTTGAACTCTGAAACATTAATGCTAGATAAAATCAATAAATTAGAAACACGGGGGGTGCTCAGGTATCTATTTTGTTTGAAAAGGCATACCTCCTTGATTCCAAGGCACAGGAGTAGGGTAACAAGAAGAATCAATGCAGCAGCGCATGGATCAACCACAATTCCAAGATCAGGTAAGGTATGTCGAGCCAAAATTAAAGGCAGGTTGTTCTCCCCGCCAAAAAATAAGGCCTATAATAAGTAAGAATAGAAATAATACAAGAAATTGTAAAGTATGTTCTTCTTGTTCGATAAAGTATATATCTAACCATTTAGGAAAAAAATGGAGCATTCCTAAGGGAAAAGTGGTCTATGAAGATACCACAGCAGATTTTTTAATTTAAAACATAAAGTCATTCCTAAAACCTTACCAACAGCTTAACCTTTTAGGTAAGTAGTTCTTTTTAAAACATGTAACCCAAACATTTACGGTGGTTGTACCATGTGGTTCTTTCTTAGAATTTTCTCTTGTACCTTTTTTCTAATATGATGGGTGAAAATGCGAAGCAAATCACACACTAAGTTCGCAAATCATGTAGACCAATTAAAAAATACATTCAGGGTACCCGTGTCATTCAATATGCAATTCCTGATTACCTAGAACTTGTATGTGTCCAATTACTCCTCCCGTACCTTCCCAATTAACAAAGGTGCCATGAAAGTGAAAAAAATAATATAAATAGAGTTTAGGGGAAAAAAGGGATAACACACCAGATTTGGGGTTATTCCACGAGATACAGCCGAAGCACCAATTGTGTATTCTAGAATTAGAGACCAACCAACCAACCAAGCAGCTCTGCGATCAATAGCAATGTTATTGTTAAATCATAGATTTACAAGCAACGATGAGAAGCAAATAAAGAGAGCATAATCATTCATTCTACCAGTGGCTGCAGAATAGCACCATATAATTGTTCTGTTCATGTTGATAACTTGACAAAATATCTCTTCAATTCCGCATGAGTAATTCAATTAAACACTATACCTAAAGTTTTGTTCCAAAATAGGAAAAACTGTTACTTACCCTTCCCCAATGCATATGTATGTATAATGATAAGCACTCCCTGCAGATGGGCACCGACATGCAAGCTCCGCATAACAGAAAGCTGATAGTCCAGCTGCTATTCCAGCAATGAGAAGTGATATTACAAGTGCTGGTCCGGCTTGCTCTCTAGCAACTGTACCAATGAGAATGTACACTCCAGCTCCTATGGTAGATCCAACCCCTGATTTTTGAGAATGGTCAAGAAAGTAAGTGCTAGGTAAAAGAAGCTGAAGGCAACATACACTAGAGAAAACATAAATTAAAAGTTGGCAAGTGTACATATTATGATAACTAGGCCACAGTTTCTTGAGAATACCAAAAAATTCAACCAAGAAAACTTAAAGAGAAGAGAACAACTAATCCACTTTGTGGGGTAGCTGCACTTTAGCAAAATAGCACACATCTTTAGAATTTTAAAAACATTAAGATCAAGGGCACTACTAATTGGTGATGTGGGAGACCAAAAATACTACAAAACTACATCTTTGCAGAGACAATAACGGCGCCTATCTCTTACTGCCTTGTGATAATTTAACATAATCAAATTTCTAATTTTCAATGAAGCTTTGGTGTTTCTTCATAGTATCTGCGAGAATGCTCCTAAACTACAAGAACCGAAGATAACAAAGACAATCACATTAAAATCAGTAAACTGATGGCAGATATCAAAATCAGAAAAAGGAGAAAAATTAAATATAACAGACACAAGCACACATTATAAAATCACACACACTAAAGGCCAAACACGAAGTTAATTCATTCAATCACAATCATTAGTCCAATTCTTTTCCTTCCTTCTTGAAAGTTCCGGTATTCAACAGCGCTTACCAATTCCAACAAGATCAACAAATGATAACTTCCTAGCCAATTGAGCATCCCTCCTAACATGAACAGAATCAACTCGCTTCCTCCTAATCAAGCTTCCAAAACCCCTTAACCATGTTTCTCCTCTTCCTTTAAAACCAACACCACAATTTCCATCATTCACAACCATCATCCAAAACCACTACAGGTATTACCAAATATTGGTGCTACTTTTTTTGGTAAAACGGAGCAAACTTTGACGCACCCCAGAAAATTTTAGGCCAATATAAGACTACCCTTTTGATCTTGCAGCGAGAAAGAGAGAAGATTGGAGCGAAACGAGTTAAGAGTAAGCAACTCTTGCGTGTTGCGATGGTGCAAAATAATGGAATACATGAATATGAGCGTATGATTGCTAATTATGATAAAATAAACACTGCGCCAATAGATATTTTGCTCCCTGTGAATTTTATTACTAACGCCTTTATGGTTAGGATAACTACGCAATTATTGACACGAAAAAAAGTTAAAATAATTAACAGTAAAAAAATCATTTTTGCTACGCATTATCAACGTTTTTTTCTTTTTTTGGGTAATCTTGAGAACTTCCTGTGCAGGTGGAACTAGGGAAATCTGAGTTGATGTTAGGGGGGAGTCAAGTCGAAGGTTTTATTGTAATTTTGGTTGTTAGGATCTCAATTACGTGAGATTTTCGTTGCAAATTTTGTTGAGCTAATTGTATTTTTTATTATTAAAATAATGTAAATTTAATCTCCTTTGATGATTTTTTTTACATAAAATCTCAACTTTTTAATCCTTAGCAAAACTCTTGGAGGATATATAATAGAATTGAAATAAGAAATAATTTTAAGAGTCCAAAAATAAAAATTTAGTTAAAATTTGATCAATTTTAAAAATTTTATAAAATAAGATATTAGGATTTGAAGAGAAAAAAATGAGTTTATTTTATTGTAAGTAAACATTTGTTAATTTTGTTTTTAGCTTTGAATAGAAAATAATTTAATCAAATTAATCTGTAAATATTTTTATTAAAAAATAATTTTTTGGAAATAATTAAAAGTGGAGTAAATTTACTAAGGTAACTTAATTATTTTTTTTATTCATAAAAAAAATAAAAGCAACAACAAAAGCTAAAAATGAACAAAAGATTTGGCAAAAGAAACAAGACTACCATGTAGTGTGATCTGGTGAATAACATTCATATCGACACCCCTTATTCCAAGCCAAAAGGAGACCCTTATATATATATATGCCCAACAACTCTGCATGGATCTTTGTTGTTCCTATGAAGCCTGAAAATCCCATCTTTCAGTCACCATGATAGTTTCTAATTAAAGTACCCCCATCAACTCACTAACCTTTGTTATTTATGCTAATAATCTTTGGCTGTGAAGTCAATCACCTCATTTCCCAAACTAGAGATTTTCCAACCTAACTCCACCTCCTTCCGACTTCTCAGATTGATCGTAGAGGTTGAAATACTGTGTCAAAGATCCTCTGTTAGAGGAGTATAACTATGGTTCCAAGCACAAACTCCCTCCCTAACAATATCTTTCAATTTCAGACTCAAATTGTTAATATGCACATATGGAACTTTATTACAGAATGGGCCTTAATCAAGCCATTTATTGTACCAAACCAATATGTTTCCTTCAACTCTTGTTTCAATATCATCTTTCAACTATTGAATAAAGTATTCAAGTGGATGAATCTTCCAATTTCAGTCTCTCTGAATCTTCCAATGTCAATCTCTCTGGCTTACTTAAAGCTCTCTCCTTCCATGAAGGACAGAAATGTAGGGTCCATTATGGTGGCCTTTGTATTCCATTTTTACATAAAAATGATAAAAACCTTATCCATTTCCAGAGCCAGATTCAGCAATTCACCCATAAAAATATATTATCCTATCATTTATGTCATACACAAACAACTATTTTATCTTCATGTCCAATAACATATAATTGCTCAATTAAATTTTTAATATTCGCTGTCATTTAATCATTCATTATTATATCATAAAAAATCATTAATTTATATAATAATATTATAACTTTAATTACACTGATAACATATTAAATTAAACTTTAATTACTTAAGAACCTTTACCCTCGTGGTATAGTTGAGAATTCTCATATTCAATCGTATTAGTATAATAAATGTACGTGGTTATTTTGTGAATTAAAATATTTTTCTTCATTTTGCTATATATCTTTTAAAAAATTTGTTTAGAGAGTTTTCTATTATGAAATTAACGTTGGAAAAATAATATCATACTATAGTCAAAGAAAAAAAAATATAACACAATTTATGTGTGTGTTAATTTAAAATTATTTATATGTGTTAAAAAAATATTATTATATTATTTTTCACATTGAATGGAGATTATATTAATAACAATTGTTATCGTAAAGAAGAAGGATATATGCAAGTAAAATTCATAATCTGTTAGTCTAACCTGCGCACATATTATGTCACTTCATTTGTGTTGATATGCATGGATGATACGAAATGAACTAAGTCAAGTTTTTGAGAAAAAGTAACTTATATACAAAACAATTCAGGTTATATCATTTTTTTTTTCGTTTTGTTAATAATTATAGTGCAAGCAAACAAGTTCTTATCTTATAGTATTTAATTCACATAAATTATATTTTCAATATATTTAATTAATCAGTTGTTAAGTTAAAAATAAATCACATCAAATTAATTTTTTAAAATTTCATCTTTTAAAAAAATAATAAAAAATTGAAATATAGAATTATAGAATTTTATATTTGATGGAGAACATCAACATAAATACAATAACGAATAATGCAATGGAATTAAATCTTCCAACTTGTAAGAATTTATGTAGAGTAACAACAAATATTACAACAACTAAAAATAACAAATAAAAAGTAGGCACTAAATTATTTAATATGGAACACTCTCTTAATGTGAGAGAGTTAATTACCAGTCATCTAGACTAAAGAAATAGTTTTACTATAATCAAATAAGGATACAAAAAAATCACAAATAAATATTCAAACTGTGTTTACAACCAATCAATCAAACATAGCAACAAAGCTTACAAAATAGAAACAAAAAAATAAAAATACCCACAAAATAAATCTATTGTGCAAATACTATTAATCGTATCACATACTTCGTTTCGACGATCAAATATTCAAAATAAATAACTACACATAATGAAATTATGGTCAAATTTTTAATCTGATCCAATGATGAATAACTTTATAAACACAGATTCACTGAGACTACTTTAAGTTTGTGCATGAATGACTTTATTCTTTTCTCACAAGGGTGACTACTCTTTTACTTTAATGACATCTCTCTCTGCAACTCTTAACCCCCCCTATAGGGTGGAAAACGAGTATGACCTCTCTCTCATAATTATAAACATTCATCTCCACTTTTATAAGTGAAACAAACTAGACTTGCTTATTTTGGGTCTTTTCTGCATATAGGATGCGAGTCCAATACCCAACACATCTCCATCCCACAACAATGTGGAGATAACCATTAACCCAACGATCTCACAAGAAGTTTCAAACTTCTTATATCACTTACTTGGAGTCTGCTTCAAACCTTGTCGTTAACCTAAAAGTCATCATATTGCTTCATATATATCTATTCCTTTAAATCATCACGAAGGAAAATAGTTTTCATGTCCATTTACCCTACCTCCAAATTAAGAGTAGCAGTCAAACACGAAACGGGTCTAATGGATGACATCATCACCATTGGTGAGAAAATCTCATTAAAATCAACATTATTTCTCTATCTTAAGCCTTTCATCATTAGGCTAACTTTGTACCTCAGAGATGTGGAATTACTCTTATATTTTTCCCTAAATATCCACTTGTTTTCTAAAATCCTTTTTTTCTATAGGAAATTTCACCAAGTAATAAGTTTGATTATCATACAAGGATATCATCTTATCTTGTATTGCATCCAACCACTATTATTTTTCTAACTTTCCAATACCTCTTAACAAATTAAGTTTCTCCACCATCAATCAAGGTCACATACTTATCAAAAGAGTACTTGGTAGATGGTTTTCTTTCCTGTTAGACTTTCTAAGTTGGGCTTAAGGTGGTTCGGGAGTATCATCAAGATTCTCACCTTCTAACATCTTATGTTCCTCTTTAGCATATCAACAAACCTCATTTCAATAATCCAATCATTCAAAACAAATAACCACACGTCATGAAATTATGGTCAAATTTTTAGTTTGATCCAATGATGAATAACTTCGTAAACACAATACCGAGACTGGTTTGAGTTTGTGTAGGAATGACTTTCTTCTTCTCTCACAATGGTGGCTGCTTGTTGTTCGCAATCTAACACTAGCAAGTGCACTAGGATTGCAGCAAGTGATGAGTAAATTTAAGATCCAAATATCGTCTCCATAGGGAATTTAGATTCAAGTATCACTTCATAGAATTATAACCATTCAAGCTTTTCGAAATTGTAAGGAGAGTGGTAACATGTACTAACAGCAAACTAGAACAATTAGAAGTAAAATGAAATTGCAGAAAATAGAATAATGAACACACATTTATGTGATAACAGAGGAAGAAACCATAGCTAGGGAATTGCTTCACCAAAACTCCAATGTTTAATCAATAAAGTTCTGAATTAACAAGCAATTGGAAAGAATGACAATCAGTTTCACATTATATTATTCAGAGGTTAATTCCTTAACTCAGTGAACCTAATATTCAATTAAACCATTCTAATTCCTTAGATCTGATTCAATTCAATGTTGCTTTAAGTGTAAGAAACCAAAAGATTACAAGATCAAAGTTCCTTATCCCTAAGAAAACTAAAATCTCGGTGATTGGTTCAGATCTGAAGAACAAATTCAATTTCCATTGACAAAGGTTCCTCTAAATTTAGTTAATCAAATTTCCATTCAATTTCCACGTGAAGTTCATAATCAATCACTCAATCTATTCCAAAGCTTGAAATTCAGATCCAAATCAATTCAACATATTCGTTTCAGATCTACAATCCCTAACTATGAACGAATTACACAGCCATGGCAGCAGAGAAAAGAAAAGAAAAGAAAGAGAAGAAGAGAAGAAGAAACTCAGAAACGCCATGGAAGCTTGCTCCACTCCGATTCCTCTTCGTGAAGCTCCAAGATTCGAATCTCCACTCCTCTCTCTCACTTCCTCTAACAAGAAGCTAACTAAAAAAAACTGAAAATGAACAGAATCCTCTTTTTTCGGATCGTTTCTGGTATTTATAAAATTTTCCAGATTTTCATGTTATCACTTTTATGAGAAATAGTAGTTACGCAGAGAGTTTTTGGTTGCGCGTTAACACTTTTCCCAGAAATAGTGGCCACGCGCATTTTCTTGATATTGAGAGCTCTCTGGAACTATCACTCTTGATGATAAAAGTGACAACGCAGAGCCCAGGTAGTTGCGCGTTATCACTATTGTTGATAAAAGTGACTACGCGCAACTCGCCAAGTTGAAGACTCTCTGGAACGATCACTTTTGATGACAATAGTGGTTACGCAGAGCTGTCCTGATATTTTGCCTCTCTGGAACTATCACTTTTAATGATAAAAGTGGTTACGCAGAGCTTTTTTTCTTCTTTGAACTCTGAAGTGATCACTTTCACTGATCTTATTCTTGAGTTTATGGAGTCCAGACTTGCTTCTTCCCTCTTCCTTGTCATCAAACTTCCATGAATATGATCCTTGCTCAATTTATTCCTTCAAAAACAAGATTAAAAATTTAATTCCTAAGCAAAAATTTCACAATTACTAAAATAACTACAAATTTAAACAAACTTCAATTCCTTCTCTTTTTCTGAGTTTTCCTGCTTTCTTTATATATTTTTCTTATCATTTGTGTTCAAATTATGCTAAAATACCAGTCAAAATATGGATTCATCACTGCTCTTTAACTCTAATGGTCTCTCTCTCTCTCTTCAACTCTTAATCCCCTATTATAGGGTGGAGAATATGAGTATGACCTCTCTCTCACAATCATAAAAACTCAACTTCACTTTTATAAGTGAAAAAAAGTAGACTTGCTTATTTTAGGACTTTTTGTTCACATAGGATGGGAGTTCAGTGCCCAACATATCTCTCCCTCACAACTATATGAAGATAACTGCTAACTTGGAGATCTCACAAGTTTCAAACTTCTTATATTACTATTGCCTTGAAGCCTACTTCAAATCTTGCTTTTAACCTGAAAGTCATCATTTTGCTTCATATATATCTCTTCCTCTAAATCACCATGAAGGAAAGTAGTTTTCATGTCCATTTATTCTACCTCCAAATCAAGAGTAACAATTAAACTCAAAACGGATTTAATAGACAACATATTCACCATAGGTGAGAAAATCTCATTAACATCAACATTTTTCTTTGTCTAAAACATTTCACCACTAGTTTGGGTTTATACCTCGAAGATGTAGAATTACTCTCATGTTTCTCCATGAATATCTACTTGTTTTCTAAAACTCTTTTTCTTACAGGCAATTTCATCAAGTCATAGTTTGATTATCATACAAAGATGTCATCTTATCTTGTATTGCATCCAACCACTATTATTTTTCTTTGCTCTCCAAGGCCTCGTTCAACAAACTAAGGTTCTCCACCTTCAATTAAGGTCACATACTTATCAAAAGAGTACTTGATAAATGGTTTTCTTTTCCTGTTAGACTTTCTAAGTTGGGCTTGAGACAGTTTGAGAGTATCATCAAGATTATCATCTTGTGCCATCTCATGTTCCTCTTCAGCATCATCAATAAGAACATTTAAATCTTCTCCAATTATTAATAATTAACATAATCGTGTTGCTTGCCATTATGGACATTATTCTCATCAATTTTAAATCATGTATAGGCATCTGAATTGGATAAATATCAAACAAATTATTATCTTTCTCAGGTGTAGTTTTTTCTATCTCATCAATGTCTTTAATGGTTTGGTCTTTCATAAATTCTACATCACGACTTTTAACAAGTTTATTCTCAACATGATTACACAACCTGTAACCATATTTATCCTGACTATAGCCATTGAAAATTCATTGCTTAGCCTTCATGTTTAAATTGGATTTTTCATCCTTCAAAGCATGCACAAAAGTCTTGCAACTGAAGACTCACAAATGATCATGTGTGACATTTTTGTCAAATAAATTTTATTTGGCACTTCAATATTCAAAACAACTGCAAGACCAAGATTAGTAACATTCATTGTCATGTATAGTGTCTCATCCCAAAAATGCTTGAGCAATCTTGCTTCAAAAAGTATACACCTAACTTTCTCAAGCAACGTCTTGTTCATTACCTTTGCTAAACTATTCAAGTAAAAAATTATAGGAGGAGTCCTTTCATATCTAATATCATACCGCTTGTAATAAATATAAAAGGATCCATAATATTCACCACTATCAGTACCAATGCATTTAAGCTTCTTTCTTAACTATCTTTCAATCAAAGCTGAATCTGTTTGAACTTCTCAAATACTTGGTCTTTTGTCTTCAAAGCATAGATCCAAAGCTTCTTGAAACAATCATCAATAAAGGTAACAAAGTAAAGTGTATCACCAAATGATTTTACTTTCAATGGGTGACAAACATTTGAATGCACCAATTCAAACAACTCTAAATTCCTTAAGCAGGGTGCTCTTAAATAATACTTTGGTTTGTTTACAAGTCATGCAATGATGCCTCCATATCTTTGATGAGCTTCCATTTTGCATAACTAAAGTGGATATCATAACCATTATTATCAAGCATATGTACAGAAATCAAATTAAAGCAAACATCTAGATACATGTTTGAATAATAAAGAAATCAAATCTCTTACACCAACACCTTGTCACCTAGACCATATGAAGATTTGGTTAACCTATAAATTAAATTTTATTTTTCTTGCTCTTCAGAGCATTCTGGTTGGAGTAACATGTCTCTTGTTCTAATTCTCTATGAAGAAAAGCAACCTTACATTGAATTGTTCAAGTTGTAAATCAAATAGCACACATAACCAACATCATTTTGATAGAGTAAGTCTAACCACTAGAGAAAATATGTCATTGAAATTTTAACAATCAATCTTGCACAATGTTTCATTTGATCATTACCATCTCATTTGATCTTGTAAACACATTTGTTTCCAATAGATTTTTTTACCTATACTATCATTCATTTTAAGTTTGATAGCACTAACTCCAACAATTTCTAAAGCATAATCATTTTTCATTTTTTTTCATGAACACAAAGCTTTTCGAGAAACCAAAACTTGTCAAGGAATTGCATGCTCAATCAAATCTCAAAACATCAATAAGTCAATTTTTGCCTTTAGAACAAATTATTGCTTTGATATATAAGATATATCAATTATTTGAGGTACTTGCAACTTATTTTTACTAGGTTGTTGCTTAAGAGTTCTTTTTGTACTTTTTTTTATTTACCAATAATATTTCTTCTAGTTAATTAATCATCTTAATTACCAAATATGTTCATCACACAAAATTCATCAAAGATTAAAGGTTTTCCATCATCAACATGAGAGAGATTGTTAAAGTCAAAGGAGAATCCCTCCAAGACTGAAAGTCTTAATGTGTTTTGATGATTGAAAATCATCAAGTCTTAGATAAATTTTATATTATATTTGATAAGTTTGTTGAAGGATTTTAGCATAAGTAATCATTGGTAAGATGATTCATAAGAACATATGATCTAAAAGTATATAATAAAGGAATGATGACTTACAAAAGAGACCATAACAATCATTTATCTTAAACTAATGATATGAGTCAAATAAAGAACAAAAGCAAGAAGTTAAGCAAGAAAACAAACTTATTCTCAAGAAGAGTACAATTAAACTTATTTAGTAAAGATAAATGTTTCTTTCTACTCATCTTTACAACTTGCACTAAAATGACAAAAGAACAAACGAAAGAAAACTAAAAACATTTTTTATACAGTAAAGGACCTATACTCATAAAAAAAAAATTCTCCAATCAAATAAATAATTGAATATATTTAACACAAGTTATCAAGTTTAAGGCTGGTTATAACAAGGCCCACATCAATATAGAAGATAACAGATTGTAATATGTAAAGTTCATACCATTAAAAAATTAAGTATTCTAAGTACAAATTTTGTGTTTTCTACCTAAAGAGATGTAAATAATATAGGGGAGTATGATTTATACATTTGGTAGAATTTTGGATAAACAAAATATAAAAAAAAAACTTGTGCAATAATATTTAGGTGAAAAATACACAATATGTATATTCAAGTTGAATAATAAAATTTTTAACTAAAATGAAGTTAGACATAATCTTATTATTTTTAAACGAACTAGTATAAATTATTGTGTAATCTTTTTGCCCTCAATCATTTTATAAATATCGTTTTTCAATTAAAAAAAATACTTCTTACTGCTTTAAACGTAAACTAAAGTATAAAATTCAAAAGTTTTGAGAATTCAGCCCTCCCATCTTCTATTTTCTTATTCTCAACTTTAGACCTCATTATTAAATTTAAGAGAACTCCGCTTAACAGCCTCTGAGGCTTGTATAACATTATTAGGAAATATCAACATCCTTCAGTGACTACATTAGAATAATTTTCATGTGCGAGTCATGCAGCTTCGAATTGGAAGGGATTCTCTTTTTTCACTACACGAATCCTCCAAGACTAAATAGCAAATATTATCAGAATGTTAAATTTTCTTGAATCTATTTTGTGTAGACATGACCTTATTTATTTCAAATGTTACATATATCATCAACATTTCTCATTTGACATTTACCGTTTTTAAAACATTTTAAATGTTTTATTTTATTTTATTTTGGTAATATTTCATAAACTGCCTTAAATGCTTCTTTTCATCAAAGGGAACCAAACGAACTTGCTAATTTACGAGAGCCTAATTCAGGGAACTTCAATTTTTTTTACCTAAAAGGTACAATACGAAACAGTACATTATCAACACTAAACCCTCAATACGGGATATTTGAAGTCCCAACTCAATACAGGAACATGAATTGGTCACCGTCGTTGCAGTGTGTTTCAAACCTCAATTCTACATCCACAAATTAAACTAGGGATGTGAAAAAAGGTGAATATAAAACTTATCCACAGGGTAATATCTCCGACTTCAAATCACGACGGGCTGCAAAATATCGTCCTTCATAGATGGTGGGAAAAAAATTAAAATGAAAAGAAACAATGGATGCTTCACAATTTACAAGAATGAAGATTCCCATGGTGTAGAGACTGCGATCAAGTATGAAATGTCCTGTGTTCACCAACTAGGGTGGACAATCTCCCACCCTATAAAAAGAAAAGAAAAGATCAAGATACAATCAAAGGTAAACTAGATATTACTCTGTCACTTCATCTCATGTTGTTAACTTGCTAGCTTTCATTGATATTAAAAGATATATGACTAACGTTACAAGATGAAAACGGTCCCCACTCCCCAACAAAAGAAAATGGTAGGAACTGCAGTCAGGTCTTGTACCAACAACCCACTAACTTGTTCCAATGGAATCCCTGCATGCAATGGTAGACGGTTCTCATCAATTTCGAATTCAATATGACTTTGAAGAAACAAAACATGCACAAAATACCGCCGTTTAACCCCATTAATTTTTCATAGCCCAAAAATAATTTTCTTCATGAAATACAACCATCAAGCAAGACCAGTTCTTCATGAAAATGTTGCCAACAAGCTTCCATACACTGATCAGCAAATACTTATTGCTACCGCATCATCCTTGTAATCATATTATCAATAATAATAATAAAAAAGTATTTATAAAACATGTTACAATGGTGGCAGTGTCTCAGCCTCCTTTTTTTACATTTTTTTCCATTCCTTCCCCTTTGCCCGCCTACACTGGGTTATTCTTGTCCCTGCAGTAGCGTTTAATTTACCATTTAAGCCTAACTGACAAATGATTGTAGCTTACCTAGTCAAGCTTCTTTCCCTGGACTACTATCATTGTTGTTAACACCATCAGAAAGGTGAACCCATAAGCTTTGACTTCTTTCAACTCCATTTTCCCAGGTTTGTTGTCTTACGCTCCTATCATTGGTGTCACCACCATCAGAAAATTGGGCCCACACACTTCGGCATTTTCCTTCTCCACTAAATTCCTCCTCGCATCCTGCCACAGTCTTCAGCAATTCTGATTGCAGCAATGGACAGTTTTCCTTAAGATACTCAAAACCATCAGATTGCATCACAGCTGCAGTAGACAGAATAAAGAAATGATATGAGAATCAACTATTATATATCTGAGGTCCACCTGATTGTTTAATGATGTTTTGACTATTACTGAAAATGTAAACCATAGAAGACAACCCAGAACTGTATACAGGATGAGATGTCAATTATTCATTGGAAAATATAGAAAGAACAAATTGATATGTATGCAAACAGAGAAGCACGATTAGTTATAGTAACCACAGAGCAAACATAACCATAGTGGCTGAGTCAACATTCTTTCTTCAACCCATTTTATGAATTATACATCTTTATTAGATCTATAAGAAAGCTGAGGTGACCACCAATTAAATTCAGAATAAAAAGTATGAGGTGAAAATGGAAGAAAGCTCAAGGCAGTTGAAATATGTCATTGAAAAGAAGTGGGAAAAGAAAGACAGAGATATTAGAAACTAAATATTAGTGCCTCTATAATACTTTCTCACTGCAAGAAGGGTCCAAATATGTCAGTTCATTCAACTCAAAAAGATGTGGGAATAATAGAATCCCCCAAAATGTAAAGAGCTGTTTGGTTTAGGAAACATTTTCTATACCTGTTTTCACTTTTAATTACAAAACTAATACTTAGCCTTCATTTTGTTTCCTGTTAGCAAAATTTTGTACAAGAAACACTGAAAACAATCTATTTTCATTGTTTTATGTATAAATCTTCAAAAACAAGAAACATAATGAAAACAAGACAACAGTTTTGCAATCAAAGGTGAAAATAGAAAATGAAAAGAAAAAACATTTTCTAAGTAAACAGCCCCTAAAAATCTTATTTCTCTAGAAAGGATATTTCTTCCCCAATTGTTGCAAAAACAAAGAAAAAAAAAACTTAAAAGTATAGTTATTTATCAATCCCAGCAATTAGGCCAGAAATGTTGCCAGTCACAAATAAAATAACATCAAGGATAGGCAGAGCAGAACAGATGAGGGTTTGTCTCTTTTCACTCCTTCCATTTATTACACTACAAAGTAAAAATATTTACGTATTTCAAAGATTGACAGTCTTTATTTCTGGATACAATCCTTACATATAAAAGTGGCTTAATCAACATTCAAGATAAAAGGTGATGTTTCACATGTTCTTAATACTAATACTAAAAATTATAGTTTATTTCCATACAACCAAGTCAGTCAGTGGTGGAAAACATATTACAGTAATGAACATTTTTCATCAGCATAAGAATGAAAACAGATTAACAGAACAATCAGCTTTTTCATGTATAACATTTCAAATGTGATCTATAGTACATGTTAGTAGTTTTCTATTAAGTTTTTGTATGATATCTAAATTTTCACATGCTAAAGAGAACATGTAAGAAAGAAAAGTCATTTATGCATATCGGAAGCCTCATTATAAGTGAAGTCCTGACAAGTTTATGGTTAGAAACTAAGTAGATGGCCAGAAAGCAAAGAAAAAGAAAAAAATGTAGGTATGGTCCAGTGGTTAGTCAAATAACATAAAATATAACTGAATATTACACTCTACTGCAGGTACCAAAATGATGAGAATATATTAAAAGTATAACCTCAAAACTTAAGTAGCTTACTACGGATTCAAATGAAGACCTGGGTGGAAAAATTAAGCAGGAAAACTCACCAACAAGGTTTTCAGCAGAAAATTGTAGACAGATGGACTTCAATTCTGAAGCACGATAACGATCAGCAAGAACTAGAATATAGGCAACAGAATCTATAGATATGTCTTTACAAAGTACAGACTCGCACATGAGCTTAAGTCTTGGCAAACCGTACTTTTCTGCAGCAGCTAATAACTTTGCTGCAAATGATTCAGATACTGAAGACAGGAAAGATGAACGTGACATAAAGAGCTCTTCATCATCTATAAGAGTGTCTCTATAAATAAAATGAAGCAAAGCCTGCTCAACAGTAAGACTCACAAAACATTAGATAACCGAGTAAATGATATGCTACACCGAAACAGTAAGACTCACAAAACATTAATTAACATGTATGTTGCATGGAACAAAAACAACTGCAAAAGGATAGAGAAAAAAAAGGGGGGCATGTTTAAGGAAAGTGCTACCTTGAAAACCTTAGGTTCCATGTCAGTAACAACTATGTCATGATCATCTTCCTCCATCCCATTGAAAAACTCAGTTTCAAATGCAGTTGACCGTGCAGCCAAAACCAGCTTATGTGCATGAAACCTTTCTCCATCAACAGAGAAAGTAACATCAGATCCTTCCTCATTCTCTAATAGCATGCCAAAATGTGCTCCAATATCAGAATCAGGAACCTGGATTGTGTTTAATTTAGAACAATCTATGGAAGACACCACAACCCCAACAGTGCAGTTTATCTTCAAGCAGTCATCCTTGAGGAACGTCGATGCCTCAAGTTGAGCCCGTTTAAAAAAACGCTTATACCCCCTAACATACAAGAACAGCAGATCATAATCACTAGCTTTTCTTTGGAGTGTTACAATAAGCAAACCAACATCTCTTATAGGCAAAACCATAAGGAAAGAACACACATCTAGCTTCTTATTCGCAAAAGGTGTTATATAAACGGGTTAAAAATTAAGATATTAGTTAAAATTGAATTTAAGTGTAGAGAGTAAGGATAAGCGAGTGTGTATATCAATCTAAACTCCATTTGCACACTTCACAAAACAGTTTTTGTGAAAATGAAAAAAAAAAGCTCAATTCTCTGGTAACGGAGTTGTGCTTCAACTTTAACATCAACTAAAACAGGTCAATAGTCATGCACCACATTAAAACAATTTCAATTTTGACATCAGTTAAAAATATTAGAATAAACCTAATTTGTCAGTAAACCATTAATTGAATTTAAAGCATGTCATAATCTTAACCAACTAAAATCCAACGCTACAACACTTCACATACAAGCCCGTTCTAGAAGATTAAACTTTAACCGAAACATTAAGATCAAAAAACGAATGAACCGAAAACATAAACCCTAAACCTAAAAGAGAAATTAGAAGAAACAGAAACTAACCACATGCTGCCTCGGTATTTGAGAGTGTAGGGTCCGCTCTCAAGAGAACGATCGAAGTGGCTATGAACCTTGTGTTTGCCGTTACCGCTCTGATCAAGCAAGGTGAGTTCGAAGAGTGCGCGAACATCGGTGCCTTCAGAAGCGAGAGCGATGAAGACGGAGACATAAGCGGAGTTATCTTCGGGATTCTTGCCGTCAGGATAGAAGTAGATGGCCCACTGGTAATCTCCGACGGTGAAGGTTTCGCTGGCGATGTGTTTTCCGACTCCGATTCCCTTCGCCAACGAGTATCCCTTGATAACGAACTTGTGCGAACCGTTCACCGTCTCCGTCACCGACCGCGAGCTCGTACGAGACGCCAGAATGCTCCCACTCGCCCCCGAGTTGTACATTTCACGCGCGCGCTGATCGATTAGCGAGATCTCTATGTTGTTGCGAGCATGTGCGCGTGTTTGTGTGCGAGTGTGTTAGGTTTTTCTCGAGAAACGAGATTTTCCCTGAAAGCGAAGGAAAATAATGGATCTGCTTCTTCTTCTTCTTCTTCCGTTAGCTCGAAACGAATCTAATCCACTTCTGTCTCCCTTTCTTTCTCTCTTTCTTTGTTTCAGCTTCTTTATTCAATAAAAAGATTGAAAGAAAGTGAAATTTAATATAATCTGATTATTTTTATTTATTTATTTATTTATTTATTTATTTTACGTTGATCTGATTTTGAGGTTTCGGTACGCATGAGACAACCCGGTCTTCTTCCCGATTATTATCATTCATTTCCACGTCAAATGGGACCGTAGTGCTCTATCATACGGTTTTTGTTACGATTCAATATATTTTTAGGTATATGTTTTTAGCATATGCGATTCAATTTGCTTTCATTTCTATTCAAAATATTATTCAAATTAAACTTAAAAATAACGACCAATTCGATTTAAATATAATATAAAAATAAATTAATATTTTACAATTTAATCTAGATTATTTTTTAGTTTTTAATATTTAATTATTTTTATTTTTTAAAGATTTATTTATTATCGTATAATTTTTAATTTAATCTTTAATCAATCTTGAGAAATAAAGCAGTAGTTAACTACTATTTTAATCGATTGTTACGCTGTAAGTCTTATAATTAAAATTGATTAAAAAATATTAAAGTTATTATTTAATTATTATTGTTATTTTATATAAAATTTTATTATAAATATTTATTTTATATTTTTAAAATTTATCTTTTTTATTTAAAATTTAGAGCTTATTTTTTAGAGTCTTATTTCTTAATACCTAAATATGTGAATTAATTTATAAGAAATTGTTTGAATTTAACATGTGACCTAGAGTTTAAAGATAATAGTTTTACTTGATTGAATAAGATCATTTTTAGTGAAAAATATTTAGTCTAGACTAAAAAGAGACTTACCTCTTTATATAATGATATTAATATATATTTATTATTTATATTTAGTTAAATTGTTTACATTATACAATAAAGATAAAATTACTACTTTCGTCTTTTAACTTAAAAAAAAAAAATTCATCTTTTAACTTTTTTTCACTTTAATTTTCTAACTTATAAAAATATTTTAATTAAATTCTTTTTTATTAAAAATCTTAATTCTATAAACAATTTTTATAAATTTTATACTACATGTATTGTATGAAAAATACTGTTCATGATCTTTCTCTTGCCTTATTTCTAGTATCTCTTCCTCTTCTTGCCCCCCACATCTTCCATAGGAGAACCCAAGAAAAAGTGATGAGAATCTGTGGCAACACTTCGATTTGCTGTTTCACAAATCACAAGCCATGATGGAAGTTCAAACAACCTCAACAACATTGAGCTGTTGACCATCTTGCATAAACTTTACCTATCTCGCCGTTGGAGATTCTAGTGTATTGCTTTTAGATTCAATTGACGCTTCATCCCGTTTTAGTAACCATCTCTTCTCATATCATAGTTAAAAAAAACATTTCTTCAGACATCTATAATCTCCTTAGGAAGGATTGGGAAGTCAGCCTCTAATACCTATTAAAAAGTGTTTGATTTAAAGAAAAAAATCAATTTTACGGAGAGCAAAAGAGAGAAAAACCCTAACTACTCTATTCTGTCCTTATATAACAGAATAAAAAAGAGTCAACACTGAACTGTTTATTAGGAACATGACGACATCAGTGGCAACAACTCTCTCTGCCGGTACCCAATAACCCAAAACAGACCAATCAATATTGCATACATAACTCATCAACTTCCTATTCTCTTCCCCGGAGGTATTCATTTTTGCCATAAGAAACGGCAGAAACAATTAATTCTACAACTGTGTTCCTCACGGCTGCCAAGAATTAACTAATAAAATGACCATGAATGATATATGTTAGCTATAAAATGATTCAGTGCAGTAGTAACAACCTCCAAAGATACAAAAAGCAGTTACTTAGATTTCTTTTGTAGTTCAGAAACCCTTTGACCCATAATTTTACAAACAGCTTCATCTTTTGACTGAAGAAGTTTTAATGCAGGGTGAACTTTGAGATCTCCCATCACCACCTTCTGCCCTACATCTAACTCACTTAAATCCACATCAATATATGGGGGAATAATGTCTGCAGGGCATAGGTACTTCACAGTCCTTTTGATGGTATTCAAAGAAGCACCTGCCAAATTTGTAAAGTGATGAGTATTTTTGTAAATAATCCACAAAACAGAATGTTTTGTCATAAAGTTATTTTTCAATACATTAATATCCATACATCCAGGAACCACAAATGAAATCAGAGAAGTAGGTGTGTAAACTCCAATTATTTGACAGAACTATTCTTCTATCCTTGTAATTGTAATTATCACATTGGGGTACTTTAATAAGACAACATTTTAATCTGTGTTAAATATACAAATTACACAAGGATCTTGAGAGTTTCATACGCAATTCATATTCTCAAGTCTCAACCATAGTCATTCTGATGCAATAAGTCTTCATAAGTTTAAAATAAATAGGTATAGGATCCAAATTGTTCTTAAATCAGGAGAGTAAACATTTAAACAAGTATTTATCAGTTGAACTACTATGACTAACAGAAGATTGATTTTGCTTTTTAAAACAAAAAATAATTAACGAATCCTTAGTAAGAACACAAGTCAATTAAGTTATCACAAAGGAAGTAAAGGAGAACACAAGCAAGAAGAAAAGAAGGATTATTTGACATGTTTAGTAGGGCATAGTAGTCAATCCTGGATAACAATGCGATGTGACTGACTCCAACGATGCTACAGGGGATAACGGATAGTAGGATGACCATTATTCTGAAGTTTTAAATATACCTAATATAAATGAAGCTACACACATATATATGCTGAAAAATACAAAATTAATACAGATTAAAGACATATGCATAATTAATGAACAAAAGTGAAAGTTTGAGAACATAACACATGCCAAATGTTAATATCAACAAAATAAAGGAACCAAACAGAGGTTGTTCCCCATAATTGATTGGGGGAGCAGTCATTGCTTCTGTATTATGCCTTCAGATTTGGAACAAAACAGAGAGGAAAAACTCAAAATAGAGAAGGAAATAAATAATAAATAGCGAAGGGAAATAGAAAACAGAGTGTTCGGTGACTGGAAAATGTTTGAGTCACGTTGGAAACTTCATCGAAGAGGAAGATGATGACTGGAAAATATTTGGTCAAGTCATAAGCTTCACCAAAGATGAAGAAAATGACTAAAATGACTGGAAACATCTCGGTCATGTCAAAACACGTCACTGGAGATGAAGAAGACAACAAGAAGTTAGTCGGAAATGATGACACTCGATGTTGCACCAGAGAAGCAAGAGAAACAGAAAGCACGTCACACCAAAAAAGCAAGAGAAACAGAATGGGAGGGAAAAGTTAGGGCTCGATGTCAAAGGAGAAGATCAACTATGTAAAAGAGGGGGTGAAATCCCAAGATTGCCCCTCTTAAAAGGTATCCAATGTTAAAAAGGCAAGGTAAAATTTGTTTTCAGCTGCGCATGGAATAGCAGTCACGATGGCTGCATTTTCACTTTTTTGACGCGATTCATGGCACGACGGCTGGTACATCAAAATGCAATGATTGGAAAATAGTGGCAAGGTGACACTCCACTCCGCACTGCTGCGATAGCGGCCACTATGGCCACTAGTGACTACTATGTAGTAGGGTAACTCAACACAACCTTGATCATTGTGGAAATTGAGATAGAAAAAGGGAAATAGTGCTTGAAGTTACCTACCTAAACTATTACAAAAATTTACATTTTTTAAAGGGTCATGCTAGTGAGTACCTTGAGGGCATCAGTTAAAGAATCAATGAATAGAAAGTTTGTATTGAAAATCATGATGGAGATACATTAGCCAACCTCGCATGGTAGGATAAGGCTTTTTTTGTTGCATGATGGGTATACATGGAAAATCACAGTGGAGGTGCATAGATAATGGTTTTCCATAAGATCGTTTCACTTTTAATTCCTTAAGCAATGTTCAAAGTGCACTTACCAGCATTCTCCTATTTTAAAAGACCAAATGGCAATATTATTGTAGCAAAGTGCATTCAAATTACAACAGCATTTACTATGAAGAACTAAATGACATAAAGAGTAGCCATTTTACCTTATATGGACATTTTACAGGATAAACTTCAAAATAGCTCTCCTTAAATAGCATTTACTTCAGCAATGGTATACCTTGTAAACTGGTAGTCATGGGTTTCAGACAGAGATAACCTCTACACTCATGGGAAGTTTATGTACACCTAACTCTCCCAAGACCCTAAAATGGTGGGACACTGGACTATCCCTTTTTAGAGTGCCATTGAAACTTTTTTTGTTTGGTTAATAAAACTCAAGTCTTAGACCTATTTATCCACCAAATACCAATGATCATCATCAAAAAGACTATTATTCATAACACTTTGCCCCGCTTTGTTATGCTTAGTCAGTCACATGAGATAAATCGTGACTTGAAATTCTCACACAAAAATAAATTACATTGCATTCACTATCTAGGGTGCATTAAGTAAGGCAATTATTCAATAAGTTCTTATTTTATAAAGGATTTATACCATAAATTTGATCATGAACTTTATTGACATGAGCTGAAAACAACTTATTTTGATAAATTATATAATGAAACTTAATAAAATAAGCTGAAAAAACTTAATAGTAAGAAGTTATTTTTATAAGCTCTCTATGAACTCCTCCAAACACACCCGTGAGCATAAGTCAACCTGTACAGACCTGCAGACTTTCCTGCTAATTTTTAATGCTAAGCTGATAGAATTTGGCTAAGTTATTTTTATAAGCTCTCTATTGATTATTGGGTTTATAAATATCGTACGACACATTAAGCTAAAGCTTATCTCTTTCTTGCCTCCAAAAGTTATACTGATGAGATAAACGAATCCAACAGAATATTTACAAGAACATTCCAACAAAATGAAGTTAAGGCATTGGAAAGGTGCAAACCTTTCTTGAGTCCAGGCGAAACATCTTCTCCTCTGTATACAAGAGGAACGTCAACTTTCAACAAAGCATGTGATGGAGCCCTTATGAAGGTGACATTTAACGGTGCGTCTGAACCAGCTTTCAAATGAATCTGTCAAGTTTTCAAGAGAAGAACACTCGTTAAGATATAAAATCAAAATAACATAACATAACACGACTTAGAAAGAGGCGTAGAAATGGAATGTGAAAGAGACCTTGCGAGGCAAAACGCGAACACTCTCGACGACGTCGTCGATGTCAAATTGGGAGCGAACCTCGAGATGGAAGAGGCGAGAGAGGAAGAAGGAGCGACCAAGGTGGTTCACTAGTTTTCTGATCTGATCGGAGCGAACGGAGATGAGACGCTTGTTGCCGCCGTGTTGTCCGTCCTCTTGCTCGAAAACGATGCTCGGCACGCGCCCTGCCCTACGCTCCTTCTCCGAGATGTTCTTCCCCGAGTCAATGCGAGGAATAGCGAGGATCGTCTCGTCGTACTTGGGATTGGGACGAGGAAACCCTTCCAGGTACGTTAACGGCTCAGCCTCGGGAGGGTGGAGGATGGCGGCGGAGGCGGAATGGGAGAAGAGGCGGCGATGCAGAGAGACTCTGGTGAATATGTGGCGGGGGAGATACATGGTTTGGGCTTTCAGGGGTGAATGAAGGGTTAAGAGGGGTTTTGGGTTGGGACGATGGAAATAGAATAAATGAGGAGAGGGTTGAATGCAGCAGCCCAGTTGCCTCACACTGCTCAGTGTTCACTCCACTGCCAATTATCAAACGAAATTTTCTCACGTGACATGCACGTGACCTTCGATTTTATAGTATCTTCTTTAAGCAATTCTTTTCACTTGATAACTTCTATCCATTTTTAATTTGGAAAAGGAAAATATGTATATAGGATGACTAAAATATTTCCCTCCATTCTGTATTAAAATTGTTCATTAATTTATGTTGCATAGAGATACAGTGTTTCGTGTTATGCAACATAGACAAGTGTATGATTCAATCAAATACTTGCTCAAATACTATGTTGCTTTTGTTCATTAATCTATACAGTCGTGTTATGCAACATAAACATAAACATATGTGTGATTCAATGAGAGACGTGTTCAAATATTGATGTGCTATTGTTTATGTAGCAGTAATAGTTTATATGACTAATTTAGTTAAAGACAAATTAGATTATTTCCATAAATCATTGCAATTAGTTACTTTTCTCCTTTTCATATTAGTTATTATTTTGGTATACTTTTTATTTATAAAAAAATTAGTTACAAATTTTAAAATCAAAGAAAAATATTTCTTAAAATATTTAAATATATGTTTAAAACATACAAAATGAAAAATAAATGTTGAATAGTTAAATAAAAATAATATGGATATTTCCGTAACCTGCCGCGTGTAGTAAAATATACAATAGTCACTTTTGCACTGAAATAAAATATCTAAAAAATCTAATATAATCAACTAATGTACTAAAAATCTATTATTATCAATTTTTGTAATACAAGAAAAATCTAATATAATTAATTTCTGTATTACAATAAAAATCTATTGTAATCAACTTTTATAATCTACTATAAAATCATTAGTTCAGAATGTAGAGCTAAAATAATTGATTAATTTTTTATATAAAAAATAAAAATTAATTTAATTCAACTTCTATTGCATACAAGATCAAAAGATTTTTGTATACAAATCTTGACTAATGCATATATATCTTATTTTTTTAAATTTTACTTATGTAAAAAGCCTAAAATTAATGTCCAACGAGCTTTTTTCTCATGTTAAAACTTAACTAATACTACTACCTAAGCTTGTTATCAAGAAACTTTTTTAGAAATACTGTAGTAAAAAGAACATAAGAGTTTATCGCTAGGCATTTGACCAAATAAGATCGTCCAGTTCCTATAGAACCTATCACTAAAATACCCGTAGGAGGATAGGGTTAAGCGGAGCAAAAAGAGTTTTCCATGAAATGAGAAATGAAAACTATTAGCCCCCACAGGGATCCAGGGACAAAGATAAAGTGAATTCAATGCAGAATATATGTCATGTTCTCAATATTTCTTGCCAAAGACACTTGACAAAAGCAATTGAAATCCAATAGAAGGATGTAAGGAGCAATAAGAACCACAAAATACAAAACTGTAAGTAACATAAGGCAACAAAAAAATGGCTAAATTCGTATGCAAAAAAATTTTTGGCAAGATTGCCCAAGCTTGCAGTTTGAAAAATTCAGGCAAACTATTACTACAACTATCTACATGCTGGCTAGAATAATCAAACCTTGATTCCTACCTAATTACATTCTTGTCACTGCTCCCTAAAAAAATTTCAGCTGGTTAGTACATTTTAATTCATACTCAAATCACTGCCAATTAAAAAGTCGAAATCCACTTCCACTTCCCACATCCGTAGAATCCGATTCACTTCCCATTGCCTCGTCTGAATTCTCACTTGGAAGGACTTTTATCCGGTCTGCATGCTCAATGATCCAGTTAGTGAATTCTGGAGAAGCTGCCCACTCTGTTAGAGCCTGCTTAGTGGATTCTCTTGTGAATTCATCCCACTCTTTCTTTGTGAACTTCTTTCTGTTGCTGGTCTTGTGGAAGATTGAATAGTAATCCTGCCCTATTTGAGTCCCAGAAGATTGTGGTGAAATCCCAGAAGATGGTGATACAACACCTGAAACAGACAAATGATTAAGATAACATTATTCACAGCATTCTTATTGCAAGAAAAATAATTCTCCTGAAATTTCCAACTTTTGAATAATAGTGTAAAATCCCAAAATGACACGTATTTTAGAATTTAGATAACTTTGCCAAAGATAATTAAAATAAAAAGTCAAGCAAAGCACGTGCATCTGTTCAGACTTTGGAGTGAGGGGCCCTTTTTGAAAACACAATTCAGTGCAGAAAATAAAAAGATCCAGCACTGAAATGGATTTTGTGGTGTTTGTTTAATGCATGCCAAGAATGAAGTAACTGAAAATGCAAAAAAAATCAGCATATAACTCACAAGAGATTACTATGTACTCAGAAACAACTAAGGCCAAAGAATTTCCAACAAATTCAAAAATGGAAAACAAAATTCAGAAATTCAAAAATCTTGGTTGGACATTATGGGCGTGTTTTTGGGTTAGTAACTTAATTGAGTGTTTATTCAATAAATTCTTATCATATTAGAGCTTATGGAATAAATTTGAGCATGAAACTTAATAGAACAAGCTAAAAGAAGCTTGTAGGAGTCATAAGTTATTTTTGTAAGTTTTTCCAAACACTCCCTTCACACTAATCATATATAAAAAAAGGATGGAACATGAATATACCTCTCACAGGAGAGTCAGACCAAGCTGATCTTTTAGGGCTATTCCAAATTTTTTCTCCCGGGCTATTCCGAACTTTTCCTTTAGGGGTTGACTTGCTAAGGAATTCAGCACGACCACGTGTTCCTCTCACCCATTGCAGTGAATAATTGTCGTTTCCTGAGGCTTCATACCTTCATGAAATCATAATGGCATATTTATATTTAGAAGTGAAAAGGTAGAAGCTTTGAATGAATTATCCTTGACAAACAATGACATAGAAAATGACAGTACAATAAAACCAGTTCACGTATGTAGATTCCACTTTGTCTTAGTTCTTTTACAACGTAAAATGAACAAATTATATACCATGTTAAACCATCTAGACAGTGATCATTTCCTACAATATGACTCTGACCTAAATTCTACAAAGATAAGTACAAAATTCATGAAAATATCCAAAATGCCTTGTTAGCAAGTTAGCATCATGTCAATCATCTCATCTAATGTTCCTTGGAAAAAACTACCATAACCATTCAGAAGCAGAACAATGCCATTGCTTAAAAGTGAAGGATGAAGAAACATTCAGGTTAGTTGATAGAATAAATTGAATAAAACCATGCACATAGGGTAAACATACCCAGTAAAAATGACTTTATAAAATAGAGCAGACAGAGAAGTCATACTTACCATCCATGAAGCCATTTTATTGAAGAAATAAGTTTGCAAACAGCTCCACAGGAGACCAAGGCTCCAATTGCTAGAGGAGGATCAAGTGTGCTCTGACAGAGAAATGGAAATCAGAATAAATAGGGAAATAAACAGTGTGTCCCTGAAATAGTAGTATGTAACAGACCAAAATGGCTCGGCCACACATTACTACAGGAAGGTATTAATTAACAAAGAAGTTAAATTCCAATAGATAAATGGCCAGAACCAACTCAACCAATCATGGAACCAACAGATAACTTCACTATCAAAACCAGGCAAATAAACAACAATGGAAATTGTACCAAAACATCCCACTTTATAGAAAAATATTATCAAGCTATGCCACTTTCAAAAATTGTAACAATCTAGGCTGTTTCTTATTATTAAATTTTATCAATGCAGACATTTATAAAAAAAAAACCCATTTTTACATTTTATATTTAACTTCATTTTCACTGGTTTCATTTCTCAAAATACTTGGTTCATTTTTGTGCTATATTTCAATAATTGTTGAATAAAGGAACAAATACGTCTTACAGTTTTTATTTTATTTTTTATTAATTTCTCTATCTATTTTTATATTTTTATCTGTTTATGCTAAAAATATATTGTAACTTTTACTGTTTTTTACCTGAATGAACAAATTGAACAACTCCAAAAGCCAAATATTGAAATTTCTATTGATTTATTAAGTTTACTTTATGTTGTAAATTTGAAAATATACCAAACTGATGCTTTAAAATATATTTTCATAAATTTAAATAAAAAGTAGAATACAAGATGCAAACCTGCAAAATGAATGCGGTTCCAACAATGCGCATTGCCCATTTCACAAATTGAGCAACCCCAGCATCAACACTACCATCTTCTTTCGAAATAACAAACCTCCTAACAATCCAGTAGCCTAAAGCAGCTCCACCCAAGATGATGCCCAGTAGTACAAAAATAGCAACCTGAAAAGTATTGAGGAAACAAGCATATTTTATGAAAGAGGATTGAAGATATGTCTGATAGACAAGCTAAATCCCATAGGACAGGAAACAGTTGATTATATATGTCTGACAGACATGCAATGAGGCCAGCATTCAAGAATTAGGTAGCTGAAATAAATGAAGGAAACACAAAAAGGTAAAAAGGAAGTGTGTAAAGTGGTAATAGCTAGAGGGTAACAACATATCAGGGACTAACCATTTGTGAATGACAGTTGGAGCAAGTATCAGGGTAACGAGTCTATATAGAAAGGGTGAGATCGCTCCATAAAATCATATTATTATACTTGAAAAGAAGAAGTCATTTCCATTCCTTTAGCAGCTATTCTCAGTTGACCATATATTTTTTGCTGACCCAAAGAGAAACAAATAAAATGTACCAAAAGCGATTCTAAACGAACAAAAATGCTATCTCATTATGAGCCTTTTGTTTCAACTTTTTTATGAAAAAACCATTTTTTATTTTGAAAAAAATAAATGTTTAAGAAAAAATAAAATTATAACCACCGCCTAAAATAAAAAACTTTTTCATAATTGTCCAAACAAAAAATGGCTTGCCCTTTTAATAAAATCTCTAAAAGTATATCAACTTTTTAAAAGCTTAAACAAGCGGGCCATATAATTCAAAGATCAGAACAAGGTGGAGGAAGAAATTAAGTCATATATTGACTGGAAAACAAAATGTTTCAAACGTGTCCCAAAATGATAGCTCATCATACACAAGAAATATGTAGATGGGTCTGAAGAAAAAGCTAAGAAAAGGATTTGAAATCCAAAAGGGTAAATAGAAGTTAACCATTCAGCATGCATTGTATTATGGACTAAGTTATCTAAAAATGGAAATAAACTGGTATACTTACTGGATTGTGCATCTCTTCATTCAACCCAAAACTCTGAAGAATTGAATTTACGATCAAAGAGAATTGGTGCAAAATAAATGACCCAGCTCCAAGCTGAAACAGCACACAGTAATAATATTAAGAGTGATAATCTTTGCATGAAACATGAACTTATAAGTGAACGTTGGGAAAAAAATTTAATCAAAACTCACCACTGATCCATATATGGTAAGGTAAAATATATTTTTTCTTCCAGTTGGCAATAACTTCATGCCCTATATCATAATTAGAAGAAATTAGTTGAAAACATGTTAAACAAAATCAAGGAAAATTTGGAAGCAATGAAACAAATGAGATTCATGTTTGGATAAGAGTAACTTGTATACCTGAAAAAGAAGGATTATGATGACAAGAAAGATCCCTATAGCCATTGAACTGCTGTAATAAAACGGAACCCAACTGCTAATAATTGGAGCTACAAGTAGCAGTAATGAACCCAGTGCAAGACAAATGAGGCGCCATTTCTGAAAATCTGCAATTTTTTTGTATAACATATATAAGTTAGCACCAAAGATTTTTAAAAACACAGAGAAGAGACAACAAAAGAACAATTTTCCCCTTTTTTAAGATGGAAGAACCTAACCTTCTTCAAGAGCAACGGTAACAGAATCCAATATTTCTCCATTGATTCTCACATCAACATATCTAGTTTCATAAGGTGACATAACAGAACTCCAGATCCCCTTTTGTACACTCCTCCATTCATCCTTTTGACACTGACACCATCCAAGTGTATTATTCCTGCACATACTTTGTAAATAAGAATTGAAAATCTGATAGACATCACAAAAAGTTGAAATTACAAGTGTTTGTGCATGCAGACACGTGCCAAGCATGCACCTGTGAGGAGGAGATGCAGGGGCAGTAAATACATAGAGAAAACTATGGTCAGTATGTCCAAAATGAGTGCTTACCTGTGGAAACAAACCTGAATTTTGTTATGCAACCTCTCTGGGATCGAAACAGATGGAGCCAAAGTAATATGGAATGAATTAGCATAGCTCCCAAGTTTCAACCTAGAGATACCAGATACTCGAATACGCTCACACCGTAAAGTGTCTTTAACCCCTTGAGAAGATGAATGCCCAGAAAGCGGAGGAGGGGAGATATCCAAAACTGGCTTTTCAATATCAACACCTGCAGTAGTAACTAGTAAAATGCTGAGACTCTACTCAAAGGCAAAGAGGATGAAAAGAACTTGCAAGAACAAAGTAACTAAATATTCTGGACGCACATTGGGAAAATTAAGTGACCAATTCAGCAGAACAAACAACTACAAAAGGATAAGTGATTCTTATTATTCCATAGGAAACAAGCGACCAACTTGGCAATCTTATTGAACCTTCAAATACAGCAGTTACTGCTGGTAATTGTTCTTTTCTAAAATGAAGGGTTTCAAACTGAAAAAAAAAGAAAAGATTGCAATCTTATTTCCTTTAACAGGGTATTTATGGATTAGAAAATAACTACATGAGATAGTGCCGCAAGGATACTAAATCAGACGTTCGACAAATCCGAGGTTTCCAGTGGAATTTGAAAAGGGTAGAAGAAACCCTAGGGATGATTAACAAGCAATGAGAACTTTCCACACTAACTAGACATGCATGGTGAGTGGTGAAGTAGGAGTAAGAAAAAGAAGTAGAAGGTGATTCTAGCTAACCTTTGACTGTGATAGGGTTGTGGTGATTGGCGAGTGATGAGGTGAAGAAGAAGAAGAAAAAGAAAAGAAGGAGCGTAGAGGAGAACGATCCCATGACTATGATGGGATACGATTCTCAAATCAAATCAGTACCACAACGCTCTTCGCCTTGTATTCGAGTTTTCCTTTCTTCCGATAAGTACAGGGCTTGGCCACTCTTTGCCCTTAATTTATATATTTATTATTATTATTTATTTCTTTTTCACAGCGTTGCGTTTTTTTAAGGCAACAGTGCGACACAACAATTTTCATTTACGCGGGGAATTAGTTTTGGAAATGCGTACATTGTGCGGTTATGTTTATGTACAGTCGTGTCTTTTTCATTCGTTTCAAAATAATTCCCGATAATTAGTTCAAAACATATATTATTATTACTTTCGTTTTGTTATCTGTTTATTTCAAAGATGACACGTACTGAAACTTATAATTATTTTTTATTCATAAAAATTATTTTAAACTTTTTAATTTGAATTTTTTTATCTCAATTATGATCGGTATGTTAAGTATTTAGAATTAAGTTGAGATAATGAAATAATTAAAAATTAATTAATATATTTATTTAAAGTAATAAAATAAATAATAATAATAATAATAATATAAGAGAAATTGAGAAATAAGAAAAATTCTAAGATAATATTAGTATTTTATTTTTTATTTTTATTTTATTTTTTTACTCTTATTTAAACTACTTTTAATTATTTTATTTAAAAAATATTTTAAATTAATAAATATATGTATAGAATCTTTTTTATGGTTTTTTAAATTACAAATATGATTTTTTTTTTAAATTATAGAAATATTAATTTTTCAAAAATCACAAATAATGACTTTTATTCAAAAATCTTCGACAAAAGTTACTTTTAAATATAAAAATTATTATTAACAAATTTTAATTTTATAATATATTTTTAAAAAGTTGTCATTGATAATTTTTTATACACTTTTTTTTTTATCTCTGGATTTTTTTTATACACTTTTTTACAGGTTTCAAAATCCATTTAGCCAGACTGGAATTTCTACACCATAGGTTATCATGGTCAGATATTTGAAGCCCAAAATAATAGCAAAGGTGGTTTCTTTGTGGTATGAAATTCCCTGCATCTTTTAATTGAATACTAGGGATGATTGATTATACACACTTGTGTTATTTTCTTAAGACAAGTGACTTGTTTAAGTGAATTAAAGCATATTTTATATGTATTTTAATTTGTTTAAGCAATTTAAAATTGAACAGTCTAGTTCTTGTCATAATTAGAAAGAATCCAAATCTATCTTTAGTATGTTATTTCTATAATTTACAAAAATATTATTTCATTAATAGCTTTACTACAAATTTTTTACTCCATAAATTTATTATTGATATATATAGCAGTAATAAAAAAAAAGTTACGAAACTTATTTGAAATCATATAAAATTTAAAGGATTGATATGAAATTTATAAGAATCTTAAAGAACTAATTTAAAATTATAAAAACAACTATTTAGTAATATTAATAAAAAAATTAAAAAATTAAACTATTGTCTACATAATTATTATTTATTTTTTGTTTATGAAAATATTTTCATAAACAAAAAAAAATGGCATAATTTAATCACTATTACAGAGAAAAAAAAAAGTTTATTTTGTATTCTTTCTATATTTTTTATTAAATATATTCTTATTTTTTTATTGTTGAAATAATTGACTTTGCTTAAAATTTACTATGACATTATTAAAAAATTTTGAAAATTTAAGAGTATATTTAAGGTTTTTTTTTCCTTTACAGGATATTTTCATTAGTGAATATGTTGATATTATAATTCTATATTGACCATCAATAAATTTTTATTTAAAATTTTTGTATAAGTGTCTACCATAATCTTTATTAAATTCCTCATGATAGGTGCTTAAGAGTTTACAACAAACCTTATTACATCAATTAGGTTGAAGTTAAGAATTTAACATAAATTAGTAACCTTTAAACTTAACAATTATAATTTATACAAACTATTTTGTTAGTCACTCTTAGTTATAAAATTTTTTTAAAGTATAACTCTTCAAAATTAATTATGAATAACTCAAAGAACCAAATAAACAAATATTTGATCTCTTCCTCTATCATTTTCATTATATTTGAAAATACATAATCACTTAGGTTACTCTTGATTATAGCAAGAATTTGACTATTATAGTACATCTTTTATTGTCTTAGCCATCAAGCTTGTTGATGTTGATATGACTACATTTCATGAAACTTTCTATAGAAACGGACATACATTCTTCAAAATGTCACTTGAATTTGCCTATGTTAGTTACATTACCAGTATTAACTTTATCTACTACCAACTTTATGTAGCACAAATATTGAACCTTAATAGTTCATGGTAATAATTATACAATCTATTGTGTTGTTTTTTGGATTATTTGTCCACCACATCTTAGGTCATCTTACTTTTTTCTAAGCTTTTGATTTTGTGATACAAATATTCCATTCTCTTTAGTTCTTGTCATGTATATTTTAAAATTTTACAGACGAATTCTCTGTTAGTCAATCTTATAATTTTTGTTGAACTATTTTCTACTTAATAGCATATAACTAAAAGTATTCATTTGGTTGTGAGTAAGTGTACACATCGTAATAAAGGAGTTCTAAAATAAACTCTTGAAATATTCCTATAATATCGTTCTATAAGAATTGTTTTTAAATATTAAGAATATCTTAATTTAATTATTTGAACTTAAAGGATATGAAGTTAAATAAAATAATGATTCAAACATGAAAGTAATTAAAAATAATTAAAATAACACAACATTTGACAATAAACTGATTGAGAAGAATATAGAGCGTATAATTTCACATTTACATTTCTTTATGTTTATTTTTAGATTAATTATAATTTAAATTTTTTTATGATTGTTAACCACTCATATTAAATATATTAACACATAATGGTCATACAATGTTAACAGTCTTTTTCCCAAGCTATTACTCCTTGAGTCTTTTCTCATTAAAGTTTCTCTAGCTGCTGCATCAATTGTGACCCTATTAGAGATTAATAATCCATTATAAATTTTTTTTGCATATATCTCCACACAGGAAAACTATGATGAGAGCACCTCTTAAGAAGTTTTTCAAATCGTTCTTACATTTCAAATAAAGATTCTAACTCATATTGTTGGAAGCTGAATATTTCAACCATAAGTTTAGCAGATTGAGATGGAGAAAATACATTCCCAAAAATTGTTGAGTCAAATCATCTCATGTTGTGATGAAACTTGTTGGGAGTATGACAAACTATGCATTCACTTTTTTTATGACAGAGAATGTGAAAAGGAGAAGCCTAATAGCATTGTTTGTGACCCTGTTGTATTTTATGGTATTTGTAAGCTGGAGAAATTTTATTAGATAAAGGTTAGGCTCTTCATTAAACATTTCTCCAAGTTGTGTAGAGTTCTAAACCATAGTAATCAATGCTGACTTTATCACAAAATTGTTGGCATCCATATTACAAATTTATATATATATTCAATGATGTTAGCATCCGTTAATCATGTTACAAATTTATTAAATGATGTTAAGATTGAAAGTAAGGTAAAAATTAAATTGAGACTAAATTTATGTGCAAGAACTTATTTATAAATTTTCTATGTATAAAGACTAAATTACAAATTCATATCAGGAATAGGGACTAAAAAATATTTAAATATTTTATTTATAATAATCAATAATAAAATTTTTATAAAAATTATATATTTTATTATTGTTAATTAACTTAAAAAATATTATTAATTAATAAATTATAATTTAATTTAAATTTATTGACATAATTACAACTTTTTATGTTATTATGTAATCATATATTATTATATTAACAAAATAAATTATTTATATAATAATTATTTGAACAATTATATCTATTATATATTCTGGTTGATTGGTATATATTTATAAATTATTTAATATTTAATTTAAAAAAATCATAAAAGTAACTCTACGATATAAAAGTATATTATTACATATATATATATATATTTAAAATATTTAAAGAATTATCTTCTCTTTTACATAGAAATTTAATAAATACTAATTTATACTATGTTTAAAAAATAATAATATAATATTATGCTTATTAACATAATAAAATATTTTTAAAATTATAGTAAAAAGTTAATTATTATATGGTAGAAATTTTATTTTATTTTATATTTAATATTATAATTGTAATATAATATTATATTAATACTTGCATTTATGATAAAAATAAATAATTTATATAATAATTGAAGTGAGAGAAAAATATAAAAAAATAATAGTTAAAATTGAAATTTAATTTTATAGTTAAGATTAGAGATAGAAGCTTTATAGATAAGACTCAAAACTTGTTGACATTACAAGGAGTGAATTATTGCATAATAGATACTATTGTGAAATCATTTTTTTCAATACATAGGTATTATCATTTTTCTTTTAATGGGTATTTTTTATATTTTTATATTTAAATTCCATTTTTTATCACAAAACTCAATAATTTACATATTAAAATTTTAATTATGTTATGTGTGTGTATATATATATATATATTAATAATAGCTTATTTTGATAAAATGATCGTTTATATTTCAAAAACTCTTTGAAAAAGTTAATTATACATATTTATTTCATAATTTTAATTTATTTAAAATTTTCTTAAATTAAAAAAATTCCCTTAGACGAGATAGTTACTAGTTAAGTAATAAAAGAAAGAGCTTGAAAGATTTAGTTGGGTATGATTAAAGGAAAAATAGATATTTCACACTCCACGATTTAGTTGGGTATGATTAAAGGAAAAATAGATATTTCACACTCCACGTCAACCCGGAGTAGAGAAAAAAAAAAAAAAGGAAAAGATATTTAATAATTTTTATCCAAAAACCGCACGCAGCAACCACATCCAAACCAAAAACCTGCGACGACAGTGTTCATCGGAACTGGTAAAAGCGTGCGACGCTGTCCATGCCATTCTGAAACGCTTCCTTCTTCGTTCTTTTCTCTGCTGCAAGAAATGGGAACTCTAACGAGTTGCAGTTTCATGCCTCTGAACTCGGAGTTCCGCTCCAACCCGGTTCACTGCGCCTTCAGGGAGAGGATTCACTGCCACCAACTCAATCGATTGAGAGGCACCTCTTCTTTCTTCGCTCGCAAATGCCACCCCAATTTTTATACCTTTAAGTGTTTCGCTACTAATAACAACGTTGACAACGACAATGGCAATGAGTTTGTTGACGGTGAAGATGAAAGTGCCAACAACGATTCTAAATCTAACGTTACCACCGCCGTGCCTGAAGAGGAGAGAGGGTTCACTCCAGAGAAATCAACGCCTCCCTCTACTTCACATAGGGTATTGCATTATTTGCTATGAATTTTTACCAAGCTTATTTGATGCTGGCTATTGTTATTTTATTATGTTTATGTGGTTTCAATTTCCTTTATTTACTGTAGATTTATTTAGTTTGTTCAAAAATTTACTTTTAATTATGCTCATGTGAAGAAAACTCTCTGATAAATGTGGAGAAAGTGGCCAGTTTAGTAAGTACAAGGACTAATTCAAAATTGGTTGGAGAGTTTGAAGAGTGAAATGGCTATTCATTTGCATATGTTGTGTTGCGTTTTATGCGTGTGAATTTCTGTTGTGGTTGATTGTTGTGTTTCCATTATTTTACTTCTTCAGTCATCTTTGTCTTCGCTTGGACCGGCATACAGTAGTTTTCAACTTGATTCTTTCAAACTTATTGAGCTCCTTGGACCTGAGAAGGCAGATCCTGCTGATGTAAAGCTGATTAAGGATAAGCTTTTTGGTTATTCGACCTTTTGGGTGACCAAAGAGGAGACTTTTGGAGAATTGGGAGAAGGCATTCTTTTCCTTGGAAATTTGAGGGGAAAGAGAGAGGATGTCTTTTCCAAACTCCAGAAGCAGCTAGTTGAGGTTGTGGGTGATAAGTACAATCTTTTTATGGTGGAGGAGCCCAATTCAGACAGTCATGATCCACGCGGTGGGCCGCGTGTTAGCTTTGGTTTGCTGCGGAAGGAGGTCTCTGATCCGGGGCCGACAACACTTTGGCAATATGTCATTGCATTGTTGTTGTTTCTCCTAACTATTGGTTCCTCAGTGGAGCTAGGAATTGCATCTCAGGTAGGCTAGTTATTGATACTCTTTGATTTGAACATCACGTGATGATTAGTAAATGTTTGCGAACAACACTTTCTGTAGTCTCTCTCTCTCTCTGTCATCAATGTCTTACCATCTTCTTCTGTCATTTCTAGATATTTTGTTGATGCCATGCTTTTGATTAATCAGATCAACAGACTTCCCCCTGAAGTTGTGAAGTACTTCACAGATCCAGATGCTGTTGAAGCTCCAGATATGGAGCTGCTTTTTCCATTTGTTGAGTCAGCTTTACCTTTAGCATATGGTGTCTTGGGGGTTCTTCTGTTTCATGTAAGCATTCATTCATACATTTTTTTTGGCATTTGTTTATATAACTGCAATAAAATTGAAATTTATTTATTTATCTTTCTATATTACAACAGATTGGAGTGAATTTTATTCAAAGTATACTCCGGGACTCTGGTCTTTTGCTTTTATTAGATTACTTTCTTGATTACTGAAATATGGGATCTGAGTGATCTGAATGAACTCGCTATTTTTTACTGTTGTGCTTCAACAAGTAAACTTTATGTTGATGCAAATAGTTTGTGGAGGTGAGGTGCTGTGATGAAGATGATGCCTATGATATTTAATTATAAACAAATTAATATCCTGTTATTTTGAATCTATTCTCTTCTTTCCTCCTTGTTTACCTAAACCAGATAATTTCAACACTACTATAATGCAATCTGTCATAAGAATCTCTCAATCAATCTGGTATTCTTGTCAATATGTTGATTGACTTGCTGTTGGCAATGTATGACAGCTGTCAGAAGCTTCCACTAGTTTGCACTTTGCAGATTCAGATAATACCCTTTTATACATATAGTGGTTACTATCAAATGCTGTGCAAGTAAGCATACCTGCCATGTGTCCTATGCTGATGGTCACTTATTTATTTATTTTCTATGCTCATGGCCCAAACTATTTGATACGGACTGTATCAAAGATGCTTACAGAATAGAAAGGCAAAGAAATAAGAAGAGGGAAAAGAGAGAAGAAATCCTGAGAGCAATGCTCCCCCCAGCAAGAGAGAATCTCTCTCTACCCAAATTTACAATTGTAATCCACCGATACCCACCCCCTACAGCCACTTTCCATATAACAGAGTCAGTTCTAACTAACTTGCTACAAGTTTCCCCTTTTGCCCCTAACACATTAAGGCCCAATAGTCTTTGATTTTCGCTGGTAGACTTTTCCCCACCTAGAGGGCGGGGTACAATTCCTATCAATACCTTCCCCATTCAATTCAGCCTTGTCCTCAAGGCTAGAGCCAGGGAAGCGAGACTGAATAGATGCAGCAGACTCCCATGTAGCTTCTTCAATTGGTTGAGACTTCCATAGGATTAACCATTCTACAGTACCATTGGTTTTACCTGGACGTGTAGCTAGAATAGCCTCTGGTGCTGGGGAATCAGATACATCAACATTAAGCCCATGTGGCAGGGGGGCCATTGTGGTCCCAGCTTTCACAGAACGTTTAAGCTGAGAAACGTGAAAAACCGGATGAATGCGAGCAAAATCCGGGAGCTGCAGCTTATAGGCTACCTCTCCTACCTTGGAGAGGATTTGGAATGGCCCGTAGTATCGAGGAGACAACTTAGGATTGATTCGGCGGGTCATCGTTATTTGGCAATGAGGGCGTATCTTAACATAAACCCAATCACCAATGTTGAATGACAGGGGACGATGATGCTTATCAGCTTGCTTCTTCATACTTTGCTGGGCCCGATGGAGATGGAATTTCAACTGTCATAAGGCCTCGTCGCGGTCCACCAAGAGGGCTGCTACAGAATCAACTTGTGTCTCTCCCGGAAAGTAACGCAAAAGAGGAGGGGGTCAACCATACAATATTTCAAATGGGGGGTACCTGTTGCAGAGTGGTATGTAGTATTATACCAGAACTCAGCCCAGGACAGCCACATGCGCCACTTGGCAGGTTGCTCCGAAACAAAGCACCTTAGGAAGGTTTCAAGGCAGCGATTAACCACTTCAGTCTGTCCATCCGTTTGAGGGTGGTACGAAGTACTCATCCTCAACACCGTCCCTTGAAGACGGAAGAGCTCGGACCAGAACTTGTTCAAAAATAAAGGATCACGATCACTGATTATAGACTTTGGGAACCAATGTAGTTTTGCGACATCTCGAATGAACGCCTCTGCTACTGTTCGTGCAGTGTAAGGGTGCTTAAGCGGTAAGAAATGTGCGTACTTTGACAGCCTATCTACGACCACCAGAATGACATCAAACCCATTCAAGCAAGGCAGCCCAGTAATGAAGTCAAGGGAGATGTCCTCCCACACTCGCTCAGGAATTGGAATAGGTTGTAGCAATCCCGCTGGGGTCATGGCTTGGTATTTATTACGCTGACAAGTATCACAACCACAAATATATTCCATGATGGTTTGTTTCATCCTGGGCCAAGAGAAATTTGCTGATAGACGTTTATAAGTCTTGATGAAACCAGAGTGTCCTCCTGTGACAGTGTCATGGAATTCCCGCAGAAGAGTAGAAATGAGGGAAGAGGTTTGAGGCAACACTAACCTCCCCTTATGGATAAGAAAGCCATCTCAGAAGGCATACTGCGGAAACAATGTCGGGTCTTGGCTGAGCTGGTCACACAACTTGCTCAACGTGGGATCTGCTTGAATCTCCCCACGTAGCTGCTCAAAGTTGATCCAGCTCGGACTCATAATAATGGTGTTGGCCTCCATTCTCCGAGATAGGGCATCAGCGGCCTTGTTCTCTGGTCCGGGTTTATAGATTACTTCAAATTGGAAGCTCATAAGTTTTACTAACCAACGTTGTTGGTCCGTTGTTGTGAGACGCTGCTGGAGTAAATGTCTCAAGCTACTGTGATCAGTAAAGACCTTAAAATTTCTCCCAAGTAAATAGTGTCTCCAGTGTTGGACTGCTAGTGTTAAGGCCATAATTTCCTTCTCATAAACAGATTTGGCTTGTGTAGCTGGAGCCAAAGCCTTGCTGAAGAAGGCAATAGGTTTCTTGTTCTGCATAAGAACAGCTACGATTCCTTTCCCGGAAGCATCACACTCAATCATAAACTCCTTAGAAAAATTTGGCAATGCCAGCACCGGGTATGAAGCAAGGCTTTGTTTTAACTGACTAAACGCGTCCTCTTGATCTAGGCCCCAATAGTATCCCTCCTTTTTTGTTAGAATAGTAAGTGGTTGGGCTATCTTTCCATAATGCTGGATAAACCGCCTATAAGAACCTGCCAAGCCTAGAAATCTGCGGACTTCTTTCGCTGTTTGAGGGGTTGGCCAATCGACAACAGCTTGTACCTTCTCAGGGTCCATTTGCACACCCTGTCCAGAAATCACATGTCCCAAGTAATCAACCGCACTGAGACCAAAGGAACATTTCTTCTTGTTAGCCACAAACGAATTCTCTGATAGCAGCGTCAACACCTCATGCAAGTGCTTGAGATGGGCTGGCCAATCACGGCTGAAAATCAATATGTCGTCAAAGAAAACTAGCACATGACGGCGTAATCGGGAGCGAAACACGGTGTTCATTGTAGCTTGAAAAGTTGCAGGAACATTTACCAACCCGAAAGGCATTACAAGATACTCGTAGTGGCTTTCGTGGGTGCGAAAAACAGTTTTAGGGATATCCTCGTCTCTCATCCTTATCTGGTGAAATCTAGATTTGAGGTCAATTTTGGAAAACACCTGTGAACCATGGAGCTCATCGATGAGTTCGTTGATGGTGGGGATGGGATATTTGTTCAGAATAGTGACCTTATTTAAAGCTCTAAAGTCGACGCACATACGCCAGGTCTCATCCTTCTTTTTTACTAAGATCACTGGGCTAGAGAAAGGACTAATGGAGTGGCGAATTACTCCTTTAGCCAAAAGGTCTTGAACCTGCCTTTCAATCTCATCTTTATGGTGATAGGCATATCGGTAGGGACGAACACTCACAGGGTTGGTTCCCGGAAGCAGATTAATGGAATGATCGTATGAACGTTTGGGTGGGAGGCCTTGTCGGGTACGAAAGACTGAATCGTGGGCCTGCAATACAGCAAGCAAATCTGGAGGACGAGACGCCTCCTTAGTGCCGCTGTTGTCCTCCGTAGCCAAACCATGTAAGATCCTCTGCAGTGCAGGGGTCTGTTGCCCATTTCCAAGATGTTGGCCTTGCAGGCGAACTTGCTTCTTACCATCCTCAAACCATACTGTCTTTCGCTGCCAATCTATGGTGGTTCTGCCGATTGTCTCCAGCCAAGCTATGCCCAGAATCATATCAATTCCTCCTAGGTCCAAAATGTATGCATCCACGGAAATAAAACTCTGCCCCACTCTGACACGTAATGCCTCACATACTCCTTGGGAGAAGCACTTAGTCCCGTTTCCTAAACCAACACAGAAGGTCTTAGTGGGGGAAACAAATAGGGTCAAGGATGTTACCAGCTCGCGTGCGACAAAGTTGTGAGTCGCTCCACTATCTAGAAGCAAGAGAATTGGGTACCCTAACAGCTCCCCATCAAATTTGATGGTTCTGGACTGCGAGGGATCACTCGGCTTAATGGCATGGAAGTCCAAAAATTGGCAGATCATTTCCTCCTCCTCGCCGACTGGTGCGTCATCTGAAGTTGTTGCATCTGGCAGCTGGTTAGGTGGGTCGTCTCCATCCATGACCATAAGTTTGAGGTGTCTGTCAGGACAAGTGTGGGTTGGACCCCAATTGCCCCCACACTTAAAACAAAGCCCACGACTCCTTCTGTCCATTAACTCTTGATAAGATAAGTTGCGGGTACCTGACCGAGTTCCTTGGCTCGGATTTGTAATCCTTGGATTAGGTTTGGGCCTGTCCCCAGAACCACTTGAAGAACCTGTGGAGCAAGTTGGGCTGAGAGGCCCAAATGAGTTTCGTGGCGCTACAGTGATGGAGGTCCCAACTCCTATCATACGTGAGACCGGTGGAGGACGCCCTTGTAAAGGGAGTCGCGAAATATGAGCTCGATCCAACTTGTGTTCAACAAGGCGTGCAACGGAGATCAAGCGATGGCGGTTAGGGGGTTCTAGAGTAAGCACCTCTGTTCGAACATCTTCTCGGAGCCTTCCCAAGAAGAATCCCATATATTGGTCTTCTGTCATAGGCGGTACTTGCGCCATAAGCACTTCGAAAGCCTCAACGTACTCATCCACAGTACCCGTTTGTTGCAGGAGCTTCAGTTGCGCGAATGGATTCCCAAAGTGGTTGTCTCTGTAGCGATTGAGGAGTGCCCGTTTAAAGGATTCCCAACTGAGATTTGGGTCACTATTCAATAATACCTTGAACCAGTGCCAAGTCATCCCTTCTATACAAATTTGTGCATGTGAAATGCGAAAATCAGGTGGTGTATTTTGAATCTCAAAGAACGTCTCCGCCTTGGCTAACCACCCGACGGGATCTTCGTCGGAAAACGGTGGCAAATCTATGCGTTTGGCCAGATTCGTTCCCTCGTTGCTTCCTTCACTGTCCTTCCTTCCTGGGGTTCGAAATGGGGTCGATCTAGAATTGACCAACTCCTTCCACTCATCACACAGTGTCGTCAATGTTCGCGACAATCCCGAAACTGAGGCAAATAGGGAGTCAAGCTTGGATACGAGGAAAAAGCTTCACGAATGGCCGCAAGCTCGCCCTCAACTTGGTCAAGTCTCTGTGTCGCCATGCGTGTGTTCATACGGAACTTGGGTGAACCTCTCAACGAAAGCACCAATGATACGGACTGTATCAAAGATGCTTACAAAACAGAAAGGCAAAGAAATAAGAAGAGGGAAAAGAGAGAAGAAATCCTGAGAGCAATGCTCCCCCCAGCAAGAGAGAATCTCTCTCTACCCAAATTTACAATTGTAATCCACCGATACTCACCCCCTACAGCCACTTTCCATATAACAGAGTCAGTTCTAACTAACTTGCTACAAGTTTCCCCTTTTGCCCCTAACACATTAAGGCCCAATAGTCTTTGATTTTCGCTGGTAGACTTTTCCCCACCTAGAGGGCGGAGTACAATTCCTATCACTATTCCTTCCCATCTTATTTGTTTAATGTTATTTCTAGACATTTTTACAAAATTCCATAAATTTCCGTTGCTTTTTTGTTCTTTATATATATTTTTTACCTGATGGATATGGCTCTTTGTAGGAGGTTGGACACTTTCTAGCAGCATTTCCTAAACAAGTAAAATTAAGCATCCCTTTCTTCATTCCAAACATCACACTTGGCAGCTTTGGTGCAATTACTCAGGTGACAATATCTAATTTTTCCTACCAGTCACTTTTACATTGAATTTGCAACTACTGTCTGAAGCTATTATAATCACATGCTTATAAGTTGTAGTACTATTTGGGGGTTTTATTTGCCCAATTTCTTTCAGGTATTTGCAAGTATCTTTTGACTGTCTATTTATTGCTACTAAATATGACAAATGCTATAACATATCAGTTAAACTGAACTTCATTTCCTTAGTTCTAGTATGCATCTAAATTCTGATTCGTAGTTGTTTATACTTCATTGTAGTTTAAATCCATCCTTCCTAATAGAAGTACAAAAGTAGACATATCACTTGCGGGTCCCTTTGCTGGTGCTGTATTATCATTTTCGATGTTTGCTGTTGGTCTTCTTCTCTCATCAAATCCAGACACAACAGGAGATTTGGTGCAAGTTCCTAGCTTGTTGTTTCAAGGTTCCTTGCTTCTTGGATTAATCAGTAGAGCAACTCTTGGTTATGCGTATGCCCCCTTCCTTTCACAGTTTTTATGATTTTCTGTCATTGATTTAATGAGTATGCACTGATGGATCATTATGTTTGGGGAAATTTTCAAACCAACTGTTTCTAAGTGCTATGACTTGATGGCAACCCATGGTTTTAGTTTGTAAATTAGAATTCATGCTTATGTTTGTATGCCTTTTATTCTGTCCACATCTAACATTGATACATTGCTATTGTAAATGAGCAGAGCAATGCATTCTGCAACAGTTCCGATTCACCCTCTTGTGATTGCAGGCTGGTATTCAACTTTTCCTCCTGTAACCTAATTTACTTTCATTGTTAAATCAAATCAATTGAAGAAATTTATGGTTCCAAACACACCCTTGTGCCTGCCTTTTTATTTATATATTTTATGATTTTGCAGGTGTGGCTTAACCATACAAGCTTTTAACATGCTTCCAGTCGGGTGCCTTGATGGTGGAAGAGCAGTGCAGGTATCTTGTTTCATCTTTTAAACTTTAGATGATGAAAGGTTTATTGCTTGTGATATTTTCCTGGCATAGAAAAGGCTTGGTGTATTGTCATTTTCTTGAAGATGTTTGGGACAATGTCTTAGTCACAGGGAAAATATTGTTTGTCTATTTTCAGTTGTAAACCAAGAACTTAACTTCCTCTTGGCATTCATCAATTCCATTTAGGATAAGAGGATAAAGCAACATAAATACAATGGTCATAGAGGACATTAGCTCAATCAGGGACAATGCTTTGAACACATTTTGAAATTCATAGATGCTGAGGAAATTAAGCTTTTCTCAATATCATCCTTTCTTATCTTGTTAACTATTATAGATTTATGACCAAATACACACACACATATGCATGCATAATTAATTAACAACCTTGCTTTCTAGATTTGTTTCATTTTTAAATTAGGATATTTTGTCATGCATTCATTAATGTAAATGCATATATTTTTTGTTATCATTATGACTTGTAATCCTAATGTCAAATATCAATGCAGTCAGTGAGTTAAAAGACATAAATCAGAACTTAGTTTTTCAAGTTGGGGGGATGGGATTAAGGGGAACATAAAGCTTACTGAATTGCTTGTTCAGGAAGCAAAACAAGGAGCTACAGAATATCAGAGTAAAGTTGTTTTTTCTTTTTTTTTAATTTCCTGACACTGGCAAGAAAAAGCATTGTTGATTGTGTAAATCACAACTTCGGCTTCAGCTTATACTTGGTACTTCTTGATGCCATGAACTTTTAGCAGCACATAGGAATACAGTAAATATTTCAAAATGTATTTGTAGATTGTGTAAATCACAACTTGGGCTGGCCATTTTAGTTGGGTACTATGGTTAGGATGTCTAAAGTGGTTTGGAACCACTGGGCTAATTATTGATATATAACCATTTCAGGGCTAACAGTGGGCCATTTGTCAGAAACAGGGGTATTAAGAGACCTAATTATTTGTATTTATTCCCTCTTTGGGGAAGATGCTGAAGCTTAAATGGATGGATATTTTAATGGCATGGCTTCTCCCACTTCAGATTGTAGAGAGTAAAGTGGGGACTTACCCGTAATGGGAAAGTTTGAAGTGAGGAACTGGAATGACATATTAGTCAAATATTTTTGTGCAAGGATCCAGGGACCTTTTCTTCCATGCACTTGACTGGTAACATCTATACATTATTAAGGTAGTTTGATGTCGGAGGTAAGGGAAAGTCTCTATAAAATAAAATCCTGTGTAAGATTCATGCCATGACTCTTCGCTTGTTAGCGATGATTGACTCTTGGTTAACACCCCTCTTCTCGTGTCCCTAGGGATTGCATTAGTTCAAAATTAAAAGCAGCTTTAATTCATACTCCATATGTTATTTTTATGACTTATGATAAAGATGATACTGTATTGAGCTTAGGTATAACATTTACAACCAAAGACATGGACAGCTATATAATTTTCTTATTGGAGGATGTGAATTTATTGAACGACTTGTAGAGTTCAAAGCAGCGATTAATTATTTTAGAAAAGGGAGTATATGTCACTATAAAGTTGTCATATTGAATATAAGATAGGTATAAACAATTCATTGGCAGGTTTTTTTCGCCGTGAATATTCTCATTCATAAGATTAGGTATCTTTTGTTTTTCTCACATGGAAAATCTTCTTTTTCTAATTGTTGCTCTAAATTTGCTCATATGACAGGGTGAGCATTGTAATTTAGGTCCTTAGTGATCTAAAACGGTTATGCTAATTATGTTACATGTTTTTGCAGGGAGCTTTTGGAAAAAGTGCACTAGTTGGTTTCGGTTTAACCACTTATACATTGCTTGGATTAGGAGTGGTATGTCTGATCTTTGCTTATATTAAACAAAGCATGCATATGGTTGTTCCTTAACATTTAGTTAAAGTTCAAACATTATATGATTTGGTTGCATTCATAGAGTTATTATGACTAACCCCCGGGGCGGGGGGGGGGGGGGGCGCTGTGGCAGTTCTCCTTTATTTATTAATCTGTCTTCTGTTCATTTTACAGTTTACTAACACATTTCCTAGTCCCTCCTCATCGCTTAGTCATTTTCTTGATTTAAAATTATAATAATGTATTGTTTTCCTTCTATTTAAAAAAAAAATAAGTGTTTATTTTACCCCTTTCAACAGCTTGGTGGACCTCTTTCACTTCCTTGGGGACTTTACGTTTTGTTATGTCAGGTATGCAAATACATGCCCTGAATTTGAAAGGAAAATGATGGAACTGAAGTAGTTGTTTTTGGATTATTTCTGAAAAAGGTTTTTTTTTTTCAGAGGACACCGGAGAAACCATGCTTAAATGACGTGACAGAGGTTGGAACATGGAGAAAAGCACTTGTAGCCGTTGCTATTTTTCTTGTTGTCTTGACTCTTGTTCCTGTTGGGGATGAGCTTGCAGAGGAACTGGGTATAGGTCTTGTAACTACATTTTGACAGTTATGTGTACACTAGGGCCATTTTTAAAATTGAGCAGTGAAATATATAGGTAATATCTTTACCAAAGCAAAACCCAATTCAATTCTAATTTAAAAATGAACAGTGAAAATATATAGATAGGTAATATCATTAGCGAAGCCAAACCCAATTCAGTTATAATTTAAAATCGAGTAGTGAAAATATATATAATTGGAGAAGCAAAATCCAAGTCAATTCCAATTTATATGCGATCCCTTGTGCTAAACCCCTTGTATACATTATTGGGTCATGTTTGCATTGGATCGATGTTTTTAAATTTTTTGATGTGATTTTAAATATACTGATCAATTTATCCATTACATCGAAAAGAAGATTAAACTTAATACTAATATAAACTTACTTTTTTTAATTTTTGCTTATTAATATAAATATTACATAGTTCCCATAATTTAAAAATAAAAAGGTCTATAATTTTCCTGTCCCTTTTTATTTTTAAAATAAAATGTTAAAACATTAATCTTTGTAGTTAAGTTTGACCCCTGCAATTTACTTGATTGGCATTCAGATCTCGTTAAGTAATCCCAACATTACTCGTTAGTTTTTGAAACCACCCAGGTTCTTGTCTATGTACAAAATTACTTTCAATAACTCCATACAATGAAGCCCAAACTTCTGGTCTTAAATGTTTGATATGTGTTTATCTAAGAACCTGATTAGAACTCTTCCACACCAAGTTTAAAAAAATGTCTACGTTCTAAGGTAACAACAGAATTGGAAATTCAAGTTGTAAAGCTAGAAGCTACAACACTTGGACAAAAACAAGTGTGTTATAGGTTAGTGTGTAAATGCGTTACCAGCACATGTATAACTCTACTTCAGCATAGCGAAATTAAATCATATCCATTCAACCTTATCTTTAACGTGTTGGAACGTGCGTCAATCGGTTCTTAGATTTGCTCCCCAAGGTCAATGCAGTGTCGTGCTTTTGTGTTAGACGTATTGAACCCTTGTTCCTTCTTACACGAGAGAGAAAAACTAAATCACAGAAAGAACCAAAAAGGAGGGAGACTGGCCACACAGAAAAGAAAATGGGGAATAAGCCGACGGGATGTAGTTTGAATTTGAAACTTCACCACACAATTAATTCTATATAAACTGAAACAAATACATTTTAATGTTACGTTACTCGGTGGTAATATAACACATTCTTTTAAAGGGTCATTCAAATTTGCATAAATTTGAATCTTATAATTTTTAGTACTCAAAAATTTATTTTAAAATTTGAGGTGTGCTCGTTGTTTAACGTGTTAAAACCAGATAATTTTTAATTTACAAAAAAGAAAACAATCTCACAAAAGTAATAAAAAAAGAGAAAAAAACAATGGATAGATGAGAAAGAGAAGAAAATATAAGCAAATGAATTCATGTAAAATTTGAATCACATCATTGTGTCTCTAGCAGAAAGCAAAATTGCATAGAAATAATGGAAAAGAAAAAAATAACAAGTGACGTGTAGGAAAGAGACGAAGAGTTAGTTAAAAGGTATGCAATTAAGATAGGAAAATTGAACACACAATTAATTTTCTATAGATTGAAATATATTTTTAATTTTACTCTTTCCAAGGGTAACAAAATAGAAATCCTCTTAAAGGTACACTAAAATTTACATGGTTTTGGATTTTAAAATTAGATAATTCTTACCTTATAGAAAAGAAAACAAACCCACAAAAGTAATAAAAAAAAAGAGAAAAACATAATTGAAAGATGAGAAAGAGAAGAAAGTTCGAGTAAAAGAATTGCATATAGGATTTAAACCATGTCATTATGACTCTAATAGAAAGCAAAAAAGTCCACAGAAATAATGTTCAATATGTTGACGTATTTAGAACTTTACTATTTTATAACAAAAAGGGAAACAATCGCATATAAATAATGAAAATGGAGAAAATGACAAGTGAAGGTAGGAAAGAGACAAAGAAATGAGAAATAAGTAATAGGTAAGTAACTAAGAATAAAAAATTGAACACACAATTAATTTTCTATAGATTGAAAAAAAAAACATATTCTTAATGTTACGCTTCTCAATGTAATAAAATAGAAATCTTTTTAATAGTTCCTCAAAACTTATACTGTTTTGAATTTTGATACTTAAATTGTGTTCTCAATGTTTAATGTGTTAAAACCAAACAAATCTTACCTTACATAAAGGAAAACAAAAGTAATAAAAAAAGGAAAAAAAAATATAGTTGTTAGATTAGTAAGAGCAGATAATTGAATTGAAAGGATGGCAAGTATGATTTGAAAATTAACTATGTCATTATGTCTCTAATAGAAACCAAAAAAATCCATAGAAATAATGTTGAATATGTTGATGTATTTGAAACATTACCACTCCTTCTATAACAAAAGAGAAAACAATTACATAGAAATAGTGAAAAAAGAGAAAATGACAAGTAATAGGTAGAAAAAAGACAGAGAATTAGGTAATAAGTTTGAAACTAACATTTGGAAATCAACCACACAATTTATTCTTTATGGATTGAAAAATATTTTGTTTATTTTAACGCATCCAAGAGTAATTAAATAGAAACTCTTTTAAAAGTTCGTTAGATAGTTGATAAATGGGAAAAAGAAGAAAGTATAAGCAAAATGAATTCATGTAAATTTGAACCACGCTATTATGTCTCTAGTAGAAATAAAAAAATCCCATTGAAATAATGTTTAGTATGTTGACATATTTGAAACTTTATCACTTCTTTTATAACAATAGGGAAAACAATCGCATAAAAATAATGAAAAAAGAGAAAATGACAAGTGTCAGGTAGGAAAAAGACGAAGAATTAAGAAGTAAGTATGCAACTAAGATTTGAAAATCAACCATACAAATAATTTTATGTAGATTGAAATAATCATATATTTAATGATATGCTTTCAAAGGGTAATAAAATAGCAACCTCTAAAAGGTTCTTTCAAAATTTATATAATTTTGAATTTTAAAACTTAAATTGTATGCTCATTGTTTAACATGTTAAAACCAGGAAATTCTTACCTTACAAAATTGGAAACAAACACATAAAAGTAATAAAAAAGAAGAAAAAGATAGTTGATAAATGGGAAAGAGAAGAAATTTTAAGTAAAAAGAATCCACGTAAGATTTGAACCACGTAATTATGTCTCTACAGAAAAATAAAAAAACCCTTAGAAATAATGTTTGATATGTTGATGTATTTGGAACTTTACTACTTCTTCTATAATAAAAGGGAAAACAATCGCACAGAAATAATGAAAAAAAGAGAAAAAGATAAATGACAAGTGACAAGTAGGAAAAAGATGGAGAATTAGGTAATAGGTGTGCAACTAAGATTTGAAAATTGACCACATAAATAATTCTCCAGAGATTGAAACAATCATATTTCTAATGATATGCTTCCAAAGGGTAATAAAATGAAAACCCTCTTAAAGGTTTTCTTAAAATTTACATAGTTTTAAATTTTAAAACTTGAATTATGTCCTCATTGTGTAACGTGTTGAAACCAATAAATTGTTACCTTACAAAAAGGGAAACAAACGCATAAAAGTAATAAAAAAGAAGAAAAAGACAGTTGAAAGATGGAAAAAAGAAAAAAGTTTAGAGAAATAAACGCATGTCAGATTTGAACCACATTATTATGTCTTAAAAAAAAAATCATAAATAATGTTTGATTTGTTGACATATTTGGAACTTTACTACTTTCTCTATAACAAAACGGAAAACAATTGTATAGAAATAATGAAAAAGGAGAAAATGACAAATGACAAGTGACAAGCCTTAAAGAGACGAAGAATTAGGTAGTTGGTATGAACTATGATTAAAAAATATTGCATACAATTAATTCTTTATAGATTGTAACAAACATATTTTTAATGTTACGCTTGACAATGTAATAAAATAGAAATCCTCTAAAAGGTTAGTCAAAATTTACATAGGTTTGAATTTTAAAACTTGAACTGTGTCCTCAATGTTTAATATATTAAAACCAAAAAATTCATAACTTATAGAAAGGAAAACAAACACACAAAAGTAAAAAAAAAAAAAAAAAGACAATTGACAGATGAGAAAGAGAAGATAGTTTAAGTAAAATGAATGTACATAGGATTTGAACTGCGCCATTATGTCTTTAACATAAAGGGAAAAAATCCACATAAATAATTTTTAATATATATGTTGATGTATTTTGAACTTTACTACTTCTTCTATAACAATAAGTAAAACAATTGCATAGAAATAATGAAAAAGGAGAAAATGACAAGTGATATGTAGGAAAGAGATAGAGAATTAGGTAGTAGATATGGAACTAACATTCAAAAATTAACCACACAATTAATTCTATAGATTGAAACAAACATATTTTTAATGTTACACTGCTTAAGGGTAATAAGTAGAAATCCTTTTAAAGGTTTGTCAAAATTTACATAGTTTTGAATTTCAAAACTTGAATTGTGTCCTCATTATTTCATTTGTTGAAACAAGGCTATTCTTACCTTAATGGAAGAAAAATAAACGCACAAAAGTAATAGAAAAGGAGAGAAAGACAATTGACAAATGAAAAAAAGAAGAAAGTTTAGATAAAAGAAATGCACATAGGATTTGAAAATCAAAATGCCATTATGTTTAAGAACTTTATTACTTCTGTTATAACAATAAGGAAAACAATCGCATATAAATAATTAAAAAGGAGAAATTGAGAAATGACAGGTAGGAATAAGATAGAGAATTAGGTAGTAGGTATACAAATAAGATTTGAAAATTGACCACACTTAATTTTCTATAAATTGAAATAAACATATTTTTAATATTATGCTTGTCTAGGATAATAAAATAGAAACCCTCTTAAAGGTTCATCAACATTTACATGGTTTGAATTTTAAAACTTTATTTGCGTCCTCAATGTAAAATATGTTTAAACCTCACAATTTTTTCCTTGTTGGAAAATAAAATAAATGCAAAAAAGTAATAAAAAGGGAGAAAAGGACAATTGTAAGCTGTGAAATGGAAGAAAGTTTAAGTGAAAGGAATTTAAGTAGGATTTGAAAATTTACCACTTAATTATTGAAATCGATAAGGACATCCAAGCCCAAGCCCATGGAGGAACTTATGCACCAAGGAAGGTCTAAGATCCACTTTAAGACTTAAGTGGGCCAATGACAAGGTCAAGAGTTAAGAAAGCCCAATAAGAATTAGCAAAAGAAATAAATCTTGTGTTGGAAGCCCATGATATTAAAGAAGATCCATTCATAGAGTTGAAGCCCACCACTTGTCTTTATTTTTGCTAACTTTGAAGGAAATAAGTCTAATGACTCAAATTAAAGTTTTTACTTATTTTTCTTTCTTTTAGTCCATGATT